TTTAGGAATATCCTAGAAAGAATACATGGAAAACACAGAGAATAGGTAACATATTAAGAGGTAATGGAAGGGGATGGAGTTGTGGCTCAGCGGTACAGCACTTACCTAGCAGTGCCAGGTCCTGGGTTCAATCCTCAGCACCATTTAATAATAAATAAATAAAATAAAGGTATTGTATCCAACTTACAACTAAAAAATAAATATTTCTTCAAAAAAAGAGGTAATGGAAGGGCTGGGGCTTAGTGGTAGAGTGGTAGAGTGCTTGCCTAGCATATATGAGGCACTGGGCTTGATCCTCAACACAACATAATAAATAAGTAAATAAATAAAATAAAGGCATTGTGTCCATCTACAACTAAAAATATTTAAAAAAAAAACAATAAAGTAGTGAAGCCAGGTACAGTGGTGCATACCTGTAATCCCAGTGGCTCAGGAGGACTGCAAGTTCAAAGCTAGGTTCAGCAACTTAGTGAGAACTTGTCTCAGAATAAAATATAATAAAGGGCTGGGGATGTGGCTCAGTGTGTAAGCACCCCTGAGTTCAATCCCTGGTACCAAAAGAGAGAGAGAGAGAGAGAGAGAGAGAGAGAGAGAGAGAGGGGTAATAGCACTGGGGGTGTAGCTCGGGGGTGGAGTGCTTACCTAGCATGTGTGAGACCTAGGTTTGATCCCCAGTATTACAAAAAAAAAGTAAGATGACTACTGATATAAACTGAATGATAGCTACATGTGAGTTAATTTTTAAAAAAGGTTCAACACATGTAGCTGAAAAAGTATTTGTATTCAGAATACCTCAAGAACTATTTTCTCGGGCTGGGGATGTGGCTCAAGCGGTAGCAAGCTCGCCTGGCATGCGTGCGGCCCGGGTTCGATCCTCAGCACCACATACAAACAAAGATGTTGTGTCTGCCGATAACTAAAAAATAAATATTAAAATTCTCTCTCTCTCTCTCTCTCTCTCTCTCCTCTCTCTTTAAAAAAAAAAGAAATGGAAACTTTTATTTCAATCTCAATTAAAAAAAGGTGTTATTTCTTCTCAAAAAGTTATACAAAATATCTTAAAAAAAAAAAAAAAGAACTATTTTCTCGGGGCTGGGGATGTGGCTCAAGCGGTAGCGCGCTCGCCTGGCATGTGTGCAGCCTGGGTTTGATCCTCAGCACCACATACAAACAAAGATGTTGTGTCTGCCAAAAACTAAAAAATAGATATTAAAAAATTCTCTAAAAAAAAAAAACTATTTTCTCTAATACTTGTGTTTTCAAATGTTTGTAATGAAAAGGTTAAAACAAAACAAAATGAAATCTTTCTCCAGAACAAATAATAGTCTCAGGTGACTAGGGACTTTTACCAAACTTTTGAGGAAATCAGTCCAGGCCTACATGAACGCTTTCAGAGAATAGAAAAGGGAGAATAGTCCCTCAAATCATTCTCTAAGGCTGGTATAACTTTAATATTAAAATTAGATAAGGCCTGTGTGTGTGTGTGTGTGTGTGTGTGTTTTACTGGGAATTGAGCCTAGGGGTGCTCTCCCAATGAGCTACATCCCCAATCCTTTTTTTGGCATCATTTTGTTTGATTTCTTAAATATTACTTAAGTATGCATTTAAACTATACTATTTAAAGCCAGGAGCACTGATATAGGCCTATAATCCCAGATATCTGGGGAGCTGAGGCAGGAGGATCCCAAGTTCAAGATCAGCCTGGGCAACCTAGACAGACATGGTCTCAAATATAAACAAACAAATAAACTGGCCCCAGACCTTTTTTAAATTTTATTTTGAGACAGAATCTCACTAGGTTGCCTGGGCTGACCTTGAACTTGGGATCCTCCTGAATAACTAGTATTACAGGTGTACACTACTACACTTGGCTAAGGCCAGTATTTTTATTTAATTATTTTTATTTTTTTAGTTGTAGATGAACACTATACCTTTATTTTATTTGTTTTTATTTTTTTATGCAGTGCCAGAAATTGAACCCATTGCCTCACGCATGCTAGGTAAGCGCTCTACCACCGAGCCACAACCCCAGCTCGAGGCTAGTACTTTTTTTAAAGGAAAAAAACTTCAGCTATTTCATTTGTAAATACAGTTGCAAACATAAAAATCCCCTTCTAAAATATCAATTAGTTGAATTCAACAATGTGATAACACCATGACCAAGTCAGGTTTGTACCAAGAATACAGGGTGGTTTATTATTAGGAAATCTGTATCATTCTCTACATTAACAGATAAAGGAGAAAACTCACAAGATCTCTGTAGATAAAGGAGAAGGATTGAATAAAATCAACACTCATTTTATCAAAAACACTCTTAGTGAACTGGCATTAGAAAGGAACTTAGCCTGATAATGAATATGTACCAAAAACTCACAATAAACATCATACTAACATGGGCGTTTCTCGTGTAAGTGCGTAAAGATTATTAATGTATCATTTAAATCAGACACATAGAATTTGAAAATCAGGAGTACTGTATAAATCCTTTTCAGAAGTAAAATTAGAAGTTGTAGAGTGTAAAAATGGCTCCTAGCCTGGGGTGGTGGCACACCCCTGTGATCCTGGCTACTCAGAAGACTGACGTGGAGGATCGTAAGTCCAAGAACACGGTGGACAACTTAACCAGATAACCTCAAAATAAAAACTTAAAAGGCTAGGGATGTAGCTCAGTGGTGGAGTACTCGCCTAGCACGTGGGAGACCCTGGGTTTAATCCCTAGTATAGTTTAAAAAAAAAGAAAGAGAATATAAAAGCCATAGCCCTTCTACACTGGCATTGTGGGAGAAACTTTGATAGTTGTGTGACACATGAAACCACTTCATCTCTTACCAGGGCCAAGTAGCCATTCTTCTGTTCAAGTCTGGTCAGACATATGGACTGTGCCCTCTATCAGTGATCAGCCATCCAAAACCCAGAGACTGAGATCTTATGCCTTGCGGAGAGAACAGCTGTCTTTAAACCTTTGTGTTTTGTACAGCACATTCTTTATAGTTGTGGTTATTAAAAAAAAACTTGCAAAACAGTTTATATTTCTGCTTATTTTCTATTTCATACTTCTCTGCCCCACATTTTCACTCCTCAAAATTCATTCCTTTAAAAAATAAATTTGTGCTAGGTGCTATGGCACACATCTATAATCCCAGCAACTCTGAGTCAGGAGGAATCCAAGTTTGAGGCCAGAGTGGACAACTTAGTGAGAACCTGTGTCAAAATAAAATATAAAAGGGTTGGGGAGGTGGCTCAGTAACAAAGCATCTCTGGGTTCAATCCCCAGTACAATATGTGTGTGTGTGAGAGTGTGTGTGTGTGTATGTATAGTGTGTTTGTGTGTGTGTAGTGTCTGTGTGTTGTGTATGTATAGAGCCTGAACATGGGGAGAGCCTGAACCTGGGGATAAGGAGGGAATGGACAAATGGCATAAATGTGAATCACAGTGGTGTTCTACCTGCCCACTTGAATTTCTCAATGAGTACACTGGTATTCATGGTATTAATTTTGGTGGGTACTGGGAATTAAACCCTGGGGCTCTTTACAACTGAGCTTCACACACAGCCTTTTTTTCTTTTTGAGATAGGGTCTCAGTAAATTACTCAGGGATTTGCCAAGTTGCTGAGGCTGGCCTTGAACTTGCAATCCTCCATGGTGCACCACTGTGTCTGGCTCATGGTATTAACTGAAAAGTTATAAATATATATGAATTTTTAAAAGAGGATCATGCAAGAATCAGTGGTGACTGTGTGTGTTGTTAACCAGAGATTATCCATTCCGTGGACCTTTGAAGTCGCCTCTTCAAAATACTGAACTGACTTTTCTAATCAGGGCCAGCCACGTGGGAAACTGAAATGAGTAGGAGGGGTGGAAACTCTATTTTCACTTTTCTCTTCCTGTTTTTTCAGCGCCTGGGAAAGCAAGTCAGAATTTCCAATCTTTTCCAATTCCCACATGGTTTCCTAATTTAGAACAAATTCAGAGAAAATAAGCTTTTCTCCGTCTGGAGAAGCCTCCACTGCCTGCTGTGGAGCATCTTCACTTTGGGATGAGGAGGCGGCCTGGGATGGGGATGCTCCAGGCCAAATCTCCATCCTCAACCCTATGCCCTGGGCCTTGGCCTTGACGGCAATACCCGCACCCTGGAGTTACAAGACCGTTAACTACTGGAAAAGATTCTGACGTTGGAGCCTGGGCCCTGGGAAGGTGCATACGGGACATGACCCTGCGGGTTCAAGAGGCCCCATGGACCCTGGGACCTTCTGAGGCACAGGCACTAGGCTCTGAGATTTACTTTGGGGGGCCCATTCCTGGCTCGCAGTTTGGCGGCATCCTAAATGGGCGCTTTAGAGAGGTAGGTGACAATCCCTCGGTCTGCTTGTCTGCGTCTGCGGCAGCGGATGTGTCCCAGAACCTCGATCGCCAGGTGCAGGCGAAGCCCCACCATCCATGCACCGTCCTCAGCGGCATCTGGATTGATGCAAATAGGGAATCAAAAGTGCTTCGAAGGCAACAACAACCAGATCGCACCTGGACGGTTAGGAAAGCCATGTAGAGTCGAGCCTCCCGATCTTTCGGGCGCTGCAGGCCAGGGCCTTTCCCCGCGCAGGGCGGGCGGCCGCAGCAAGCAGCCCTGGCTCTGCTCCAGATGGGCCCGGGATGACATCACCAAACTCCTCGGATCAGCGGGGGGTGGGGGTGGGGGAGCCGAAATCCCCTAAAAACATAGTGAGTAATCGGAGGGCCCGCCCTCCAGGCGGGGCCGAGACCTAACAACGAGCTGAGCCTACCCCCCGTGCCAGCCCGGGGAGCGGCCTCCAGGCTGGCAGCGTCGAGGAGAGTAGCTTCTTCGTCCCGTACGCGGCAAGCACTTGTTTCCCGTCCCCGGCGGCGGCGGCGCGCGGGGCCTCTTCGTCCTCCGCGTAGGGTGCACTTGCTCTCGGCCCCCGCGCGCGGCAGCGGCGCAGCGCGCAGGCGCGGACGGATTCCGGGCAGTGACGTGACTGCGGGCGCGCGCGGCGCATTTCCGCCTCTGGCGAATGGCTCCGCTGTAGCGCGCGCCGCGGGCTCAGCTGCGACCCCGGCCCCGCCCCCGCCCCCGGACCCTGGCCATGGACGGTGAGGGCGCCCTCTGATCCCTCCGGGTGGCCGCGCCCGGTTCGCCGGAGCCGGAGCCCTGCGCCGCCTTCCGCCCCTTCCTGCGCCACCCGGAGCTGCGCAGGGAGCGGCCGGCCGGATGGTGGCGTGGGGCGGGGCGGGCGAAGAGGGGTCTGACTCAGTTTCCCCTCTGGGGGGGTGACGGTTTGACTCAGTCTCCTCCCAGGGCGGGGGTGCGGGGTGAGTCTTGACGCAGTCCCCCCCAGGGTCGTTGGGGCAGGTCTGACTTCGTTTATTAAGACTGTGCCTTAGTTTTCTCCCTGGGAGGGCGGTGGGAAGTGCCCCAACTCAGTTACCCTTTGGGAAGGAAGGATTGCATACCGTTTTCCCTCAGGAAGCAGGTGGTGCTGGTTCCTTTACCCGCACTTAAGTTTAAATGCAGGTGGTAGGAGCCAGTCCTGACTCAGTTTCCCTGGGAGGGAGCTGGCTCCAGCAGGCCCTCGCCGGTGAGGGTGGGCAGTGGGCTTGTGCTGATCCTTTTCTCCTCCCCTTTCAGACCTGTTCCCCCTCATCTTCCCCTCAGGTAAGTGGGCCATCCTTCTGCAGGGCTTGGGGAGGGTCTGCCCAGCATTAGGGGGCATAGGGGCAGCACCAGACCGGCTGGCTGTGTCTCCTGCAGAGCCAGCCCAGGCTTCTGGCCCATATGTGGAGATCATCGAGCAGCCCAAGCAGCGGGGCATGCGCTTCCGCTATAAGTGTGAGGGCCGGTCAGCGGGCAGTATCCCAGGAGAGAGAAGCACGGAGACCACTAAGACCCACCCCACCATTAAGGTCAGCACTAGCCCAGGGCTGGGTGGGGATGCAGGTGTGGTGGAAAGGACTGTGAAGCCCCCAGCAGACTTGCCACTGCGTCTGGGAGCCAGGTCTGGAATTAATGGGCCACGAAAGTATGTTCTGTACTTTGGACAGATCAATGGCTATACAGGACCAGGGACAGTTCGCATCTCCCTGGTCACCAAGGACCCCCCTCACCGCCCTCATCCCCATGAGCTTGTGGGAAAGGACTGCCGGGATGGCTTCTATGAGGCTGAGCTCTGCCCAGACCGATGCATCCACAGGTGAGTTCCCCAGAGGCCAGGCAGTAGCTTATGAAATGTGGGGGACAAGTAGCTATTACATTGTTACTCGTTTCTGGACAGAATTTCTCTGTTCCAAGCTCTACAAGCTTGGAACAGAGAAATTCTCTATTATCTATTGGGCTGAGCGGGGGTCAGCCTGCCTGCCTGTAATCTCAGTGGCTCGGGAGGCTGAGGCAAGAGGATTTCAAGTTCAAAGCCAGTCGCAGTGAGACCCTGAAACCCTGAGACCCTGTCTCTAAATAAAATACAAAAAAAAAAAAAGAGAGAGAGAGACTGGCGATGTGGCTTGATGGTTAAGTGCCCCTGGGTTTAATCCCCAGTACCAAAATACACACACACACACATATTGATGTGTCCACTCTATCAAGTGGGAGCTTCGTATGAAAGGGACAATTCCCTGATCATCCTGAAGCCCTGATACTTGTGGCTGGAGTGGCAAGTCCCTTGGTGTCATATCTCTCTTATGAGAAAGAAAACCGTGAACTAGCAGACTTTGCTGGAGCTTACATACCGATTGACAGAGTCAGGCTACAACTAATTATACAAATAAATAGACAGACAAGATATTGCAGAAGGCTGGTGCAGTGATGCATGCCTATAATTCCAGTGACCCAGGAGGTTGAGACAGGAGGATTGCAAGTTTGAGGCCTTAACAACTTAGCAAGGCCCTAAGCAACAAAGCGAGGTCTGAAAAAATAAAAAGGCTGGAGATGTAGCTCAGTGGTAAAGTGCCCCTAGGGTCAATTCCAAGTACCAAAAAATAAACAAAAACAAGATACTGTTACAGAGTAATAATTTCAGTGATAAAAATGAAGTAGGGTAATAGGTTGGGAGGGTAACCAACGGTGGGGGAGGCAGGGGAGCTGGTTTCATTACTTTGGACTGAGAGGTCAGGGAAAGCCTCTCTCTGCTAAGACTTAAATGGTGAGAAAGCATGAAGAGAAGAAAGCAGAGAAGCATGAAAAAACATTCCAAGCAGAAAAAACAAGTGCAGTAGCCTTGGAGGAGGAGGAGTGAGTTTAGTGTATGTGGAGGATGGAAAGGAAGCTCCTGGGCTGAGGGCTCCCTACCCACAGGGGCTCCTTGGCTGAGGTAGGTGTAGCTTTCACTGCAGCATAACGGGAAGCCATTGCAGGGGGTGAAGCACAGCAGTGATCTGGGGGCTTGGGTTTTGGAGGGAAGAAGGGGTAAACTGGACAAGGGAGCAAGGTGGAGACCCAGGACTGATGCCTGGGGGGACACCTTAGCTTCCAGAACCTGGGGATCCAGTGTGTGAAGAAGCGGGACCTGGAGCAGGCGATCAGCCAGCGCATCCAGACCAACAACAACCCCTTTCAAGGTGAGGGGGGAGGGGCGAAGACCTGAGCCTGCCAGTGGCACCATACCCTCTCACCCCCGCCAGGCCCCTGCCCTGTGTCTCCCTTATTGGCCAAAACTCATAGTGTGGATGGAATCTTGCTGCCCATTCATTACACACTCCCATTTTACCACCTGGAAACTGAGGCCCAGAAAGGGGACATGGCATCTAGTCATTGTGAAATCAGTGATGGGTCTGGGACCTTGGCTTATTTCTTCCCTGGGACTTTGGGACTTCTGTATCACATGCCTTCAAAGGGCACCCTCAGTACAGAGCTGCCTGCCCTCCCTCATCCCGTGTCATGCGCCGCCCCCCCCAACTTTCCTGACCAACTGTTTTTCTGGCAGTTCCCATAGAAGAGCAGCGTGGGGACTATGACCTGAATGCTGTGCGGCTCTGCTTCCAGGTGACAGTGCGAGACCCATCAGGGAGGCCTCTCTGCCTACCGCCTGTCCTCTCTCATCCGATCTTTGACAACCGTGAGTGGCTAGGACGCCACAGAAAGGGAAGAGGGATGGACCAGGCTGTGGCGGGTGTGGCCTCCAAGAGGGTCTCTGGCTTCATTCAGGCCTCTAGGGTACTCATCATTTCCTCAGTGCCCAACTGAGTTGCCCTTAAGGTGCAGCTTCCACACTGGTCAAAAGTCTGATGGGAAATGGGCACTTTCCATATCATGTGAGGGGAGAGTTAATGTGCCCAGAACTAATGATTCTGGAACATCAACTCACAGGAACAAGATAATGCTAGACAGTGAGAATTCATTGAGGGCAGCTCACCAGAAGCTAACAGATGATATGGGCTGATGTTGATCAGTTGCAATCTTTAACCATCAGGATGAATGAAAACGAAAGGACTCTGGAGCCCCAAGAATGGGGAACCAGAGTAAACTGGGAGTCAGGAGGGAAGGGCTCATTGCCAGGTGGAGAAAGAGAAGGTATGACCAAATTGGTTCCCATTGGGCCACAGCTTTGTGGGGGCGGAGATGTTAAGGTGTCATGTGTTGTTGGATTCTCCTTGTCCAGAGCAGTGTTGAGCACACAGCTGGTAAAGAGCTGCTGGATTGGTTGGTGTGAGGAGCCATCAGGAATGGTCTAAGTTTGGCTACACAAGTGTGATTGGCAAACTGGGGGTTACCTTGACACTGGGCAGGCAGGGAAGGGCAGGGATGTTGCATCTCCTGCAGGCCACCCTGGGGACCTCTGGTAGTTCAGGGCTTCCTTCCTTATTGTCACGCTCTCAGGTGCCCCCAACACTGCTGAGCTCAAAATCTGCCGAGTGAACCGAAACTCCGGGAGCTGCCTTGGTGGGGATGAGATCTTCTTGTTGTGTGACAAGGTGCAGAAAGGTACTCTCCAGGGGCAGGGCTGGACTGTTTGGAGTGAGAGGTGAGGGCAAGGCCGAGAAGATGTGGTGCCAGGTACCTGACTTTAAACACTCAGGCCTGGGATGAGCCAGGAGACAAGCATCAGAAGTTAGGACCTGCAGACTTGAGCGGGTTAGACACTGATGACACCCCCACCCATCTCCCACAGAGGACATTGAGGTGTATTTCACGGGACCAGGCTGGGAGGCCCGAGGTTCCTTTTCTCAAGCTGACGTGCACAGGCAAGTGGCCATTGTGTTCCGGACCCCTCCCTATGCGGACCCCAGCCTGCAGGCTCCTGTGCGTGTCTCCATGCAGCTGCGACGGCCTTCTGACCGGGAGCTCAGTGAGCCCATGGAGTTCCAGTACCTGCCAGACACAGGTATGCAGCCAGGGAGGGTGGCAGCAGGGCTGCTGGGCTCTAAAAAGAAAAGCCAGGGCTGGATGTCTGGGGTGGAACTTGGGTTTATGCAGTATAGTCACTGTTGCGTAACATTTCAGTCAAGGGCAAACTGATATATGATGGGTGTCCCATAAGCCTATATTGTCTAGTGATGTAGTATCATCTTAGTTTTTGTAAGCATACACAATGACATTTACCTAATGATGAAATCACCTAATGATGAAATCTGAAATCGCCTAACGATGCATTTCTCAGAATATGTCTCATTGTTGAGAGAAATACAACTAATCAGAATCCTTCTCTTGCCTCATTTAAAAATGGTAGCCAAGACTTTTCAGCATATACTAGTCTGCCCCTATTCCAAACATTTCAGCATTATCTGATTTTAATCTCTTGCCAGTCTTTTGAGGGCAAGGACATATCTGGTGAGTGGCAGAGTCAGCATCTGACCCTAGGCCACCTGGCTCCACGTCCTGTTGTAGACGTGTGTTCCTTGTCACTGCCATACAGCCCAGCCACATTTTGGTCAAGGCTTTGAGCGCCCACTTGGTAGAAGGACCCATGCCTGGTGTTGTGAATGCAAAGATGAACAAGCAGGTTCTCTGTCCTTCATAAGCTCAGTCATATGGGGAAGATGGACACACAGAACACATCGTTACATCACAGAATGACGTGTGAAACTGAGATGTGTGCAGAGTGCCCTGGAGTGCAGGCACAGGGAGCTGGAGACAGGTGCCTGGAGGTGGTAGCATTTACCTTGGAGAAAGATCCAGAAGCACATTCTTTATGCCTGTGGGCCATCATTGGAAGGCAGGGGTGTAGGCAAGGACATGGCCAAATCAGGGGCATTTTTGTGGTGGGAGCTGACCATGCCATGGGCAAACCTAGATGCAATTGCTTGTCAGGCCAAGTGCAGGGTTTCATCCTGGAAGCAGTGGGGAGCCACCAAGGTCTTCTCAAGGGAGACATGGCCTGAGCAGAACTGGAGGTTCGTTCTGCTGCAGTCAGAGGATCAGAGAGGGAGGGACTCACAGTGCGGAGGCCATTTGGGAAGATGTTGCTATAGGGTAAGAAGAGGAGATGTGGGGCATGGACCTTGCAAAAAGGAAGGCGGAGCAAGATGATCACACCTCCCATTGCTGTCCTGCTTGGCTGTCTTTCAGCCTTGCCGCCATTTAGTGCGTGACACACACCAGGCTCAGTTCACCTCAGGACCTGTGTCCTGGCTATTGCCTTGGAATGCTTGGCTCACACCAATCCTTCCCTGATGACCTCTAATCTGACTCTCACCTCCATTATGGTGCTGTTCTGTCACCTTATTCTTGGACATGTGCTTCCTCAAAGTTCCTGGCACATTTGAGATCTTGTGTATGGTTGTGTCCGTGTCCCTCTATCACCAAGATACCATGTTTTTTTTTTTTTTTAATATTTATTTAGTTTTAGTTGGACACAATACCTTTGTTCCATTCATTTATTTTTATGTGGTGCTTAGGATCGAACCCAGGGCCCCACACATGCTAGGCGAACGCTCTACCGCTGAGCCATAATCCCAGCCCAAGATACATGTTTTTAGGAGCAGGACCCTTGCATGTTACTCACAGCTGTATGTCCAGTGGCTTGGAGGGGGCCGGCACACACTAAGTGCTTGGTAGATGTGTGTCGAGTTAGTAAGTGGGAGGGGGAGAAAGATGATGGTAGGGATAACTCCAAGGTTTCTAGCTTTGGTGACCTGGCAGAAGGATGGCCAGGGACCCAGGAGGAAAGGTCATGAAGTTGGCTCTGGGTTGAGGGCACTTGAGGTGGAAGATAGTTCTGAAAGCTCCAGGCTAATGTGCCAAACCACTAGAGATGAGGAGTCTGGAAGTCTTAAAGAGGCCTGTTTGGCCTTGGTGCAGAGTGCTCCTCTCGGGGCCTGCCTGGAGGTTGGGAGGTGAGCAGTGCAGGTGAGGGATGACCTGGAGGCTTGGCCCCCTGAGGGCTGCTCTCCCCAGAACAGGGCCCCTTCACGCAGCATCACCCAGGGCCTCTGAAGGACAGATTCAGCCAACAGAGTCTTCTCAAAAGCTGGGAGAGGGCTGAGGTTGTGGCTGAGAAGTGGAGCCCTTGCCTAGTGTGTGTGAGGCACCACATGAAAATAAGATGGGGATATTGTGTCCACCTGTAACTAAAAAATAAATATTAAAAAAACAAAACAAAACGGGAGAGTCTTAGAACTGCTGTGTGTGGGTGTCCCACATCCCTCTTCACTGGTTGGGAGACCAGTCTCAGGAAAGTCTGACCCTTTCCCTTCTTCCTGAGGGGCTTTTGGGACCACCGGAGGCCAGCTGAGGAGAATAAGGCCCATTCCCCATTGCTTTTCCAGATGATCGTCATCGTATTGAGGAGAAACGCAAAAGGACATATGAGACATTCAAGAGCATCATGAAGAAGAGTCCTTTCAGTGGTGAGATGGGGAATGGGCAGGGAGGGAGGCCCTAGGAATTGGGGAGGGGATATCCCAGGGACTGAACTGACTCAGCGCTTGCCCTTCAGGACCCACTGATCCCCGGCCTCCACCCCGGCGTATTGCCGTGCCTTCCCGCAGCTCAACTTCCATCTCTAAGTCAGGTAAGGACTTGCTCTAGTGTCCTTGGAACAATGGGTTCAACTGTGCTCAGGCTACATTTGGGACGCCTGGAAGGGAGATGAACATAGGCACCAACAGGTGTCTGATGCCTGCTCTCTGTGAGGCCCGTGCTTCTCAGGGATGTGGCTTGGTGACCTCTATCAGGGTCATCTAGGGAGCAGTGGAGGCATGGATTCCTACCCCACTCATTACAGACTGCTGAACTAAAGGCTGTGGAAGTGTGGCTCAGGAGGCAGCAGCTTCCTGGGGATGCTAATATACAGGGAAGTCTGAGAACCACTGCATCAGTTAAGCCCTGTGTTAGATACCTTGGGAAACAGATATGAAAATGGATGATCTCAAGCCAGGTGTGGTGGTACACACCTGTAATCCCAGCAACTCAGGAGGCTGAGGCAGGAGGAAGCAAGTCCAAGGACAGTCACAGCAACTTAGTGAGGCCTTATCTCAAAATAAAAAAGGGCTGGGCATGTGGCTTAAGTGATTAAGCACCCCTCTGTTCAATCCCTAGTACCAAAAAAATAATCAAAATGGATGATCTCTGCCCAAACTCTCAATTGAATTAGGGAAGGAAAAACAAAAACCAAAAAGCACCTCTAAAGTAGTAAGAGGTGTGTGGCATCTCACCAAGAGGTGTTGGTATGTGGCTTAAAAAAAGTGATAAGTAGCCAGACAGTGATGCAGGCCTGTAATCCCCTCAGGAGGCTGAGGCAGGAGGAGCTCAAGTTCAAAGCTAGCCTCAGCAATTTATTGAGTCTCTAAGCAACTTTATGAGACCTTGTCTCTAAATGAAAATACATAAAAGGGATGGGGATATGGCTCAGTTGTAAGTGCCCTGAGTTTAATCCCTGGTACCAAAAAGCAAAACAACAACAAAAAAGTGATAAGTGCCCACTTCAGGCCACTGCTCACTGGGTCCTCCAAAGGCTCATTTCCCCTCAACTGGTTTTTCAGCTGTACAGTGAGGTCAGAGGTGAGAGCCCTTTGTGGGCTCTAAGATTGGGGGGCTGGTGTCCAAGGAGGCAGTGTGGCTAGAACTGGACCCTGTTGACCAAGTCACATTGGTTACAGGGAGGGAGCCAGGAGTTGGGTGTAGTGCGGCACGCCTGTAATCCCAGCTACTCAGGAGGATCACAAGTTTAAGGCCAGTCTGGTCAATTTAGTGAGACCCTGTCTGTCTCAAAATACAAAACAAAAAGGGAAGGGCTGGTCCTAAGCACTATCAAGAGTGGCTCAGGAACAGAGAATAGGGTGGGTCTTTCTAGGGCTTTCTGTGACCTCAACCTTTCTGTCTCTCCTGCAGCCCCCCAGCCCTACACCTTTACACCATCCCTCAGCACCATCAACTTCGATGAGTTTCCCCCCATGATGTTACCTTCTGGGCAGATCTCAAGCCAGGCCTCTGCCTTGGCACCAGCCTCTGCCCCAGTCTTGGCCCAGGCCTTGGTCCCAGCCCCATCCATGCCACCACCTCTGGCCCAGGCCCAGGCCACAGCCCCTGGCCCAGTCCTAGCCCCAGGCCCTCCCCAGGCTGTGGCCCCACCTGCCTCAAAGACCACCCAGGCCGGGGAAAGCACACTGTCGGAGGCCCTGCTACACTTACAATTCGATGCTGATGAAGATCTGGGGGCCCTGCTTGGCAACAGCACAGACCCAGCCGTATTCACAGACCTGGCCTCAGTCGACAACTCGGAGTTTCAGCAGCTGCTGAACCAGGGTGTATCCATGCCCCACCCCACAGCTGAGCCTATGCTAATGGAGTACCCTGAGGCCATCACTCGCCTGGTGACAGGTTCCCAGAGGCCCCCTGACCCAGCTCCCACCTCCCTGGGAAACTCCGGGCTCCCCAATGGCCTCACAGGGGATGAAGACTTCTCCTCCATTGTGGACATGGACTTCTCAGCCCTTCTGAGTCAGATCAGCTCCTAAGGGGGTGACATCAGCCCTGCCCAGAGCACCAGGTTGCAGGGGATTGAAGCCCTCCCAAAGCACTTATGGATTCTGGGGGGTGTGCTCCAGCTGTCCCCAATACCTTTGGGTAATGCCTTTTTGGGGGCACATTTTATTCTTTCATTGGCAGTTTCTATCTATCTCTTTTTGGAGGTGCTTAAGCAGAAGCATTAACTTCTCTGGAAATGGGGGAACTGGGAATAACTCTTCCCCATCCTAATGGTCATCTCCCTTTGTAGGGAACTCTGGGAGGACCCCATCCCCATGCTCCAACTTCTAGCACTCTCCTAGAGAGAGGAGCAGGCTGGAGCTATGGCCCTTGAGGCCACAAAGCCTTATTTTCAGTGTCTTCCTCACATAAAGGATTCATTTACACTTTGATCCAAAATAATATTCCATCACCAAACCCTTAGGCGCTGCCGAACACCAGCACTTGAGGGACTGGCATTCCTGCCCTGCAGAGGTCTCTGCCAGCTCTTTCCTTGCTCAGCAGTGGCTGAAGGGAACCAATGGCATAGTACTCGCCCTCTCCTGGATCCTGAGGGAGTTTGGTCTGAGACTTCCCTGCTCCCCCCTTTCTTAAGTGCCTTAATAGTGGGGCAGATTGTTTGGAGAGTGGAGAAGGGTAGGCTGGAACCTCTCCAGTTAAGAGGCAGTTTCTACTGAAGAATTAAAGCAATTGGACTCTTGCTGTTTCTATTCTGAACTAATAAATTTTTTGTCAAGCTGGCCAAACATTGCCTTCTTTCAGCAAACACAGAACACACGTTGCTGGTCATGTCAGGCTGGACATTGGTAACAGAGTTGAGTGAATGTGCATACTGTCATTTGGGAGTGTGTGGTCTTAGGATGTCGATGGAAACAGGTGGTGAAGACAGGGGTCCCAATTCAGAGACCAGTTGGGCCCCTTGGCTGGTGGGATGGAACTGTTTCAGAATCTTCACAGGGGCACCATTAACTCCATCCAGGTCTTAGATCAGTAGAGGTTAAACCTGTAGCTAGTGTTGGGAGGCCACTAGGGCCAGAGACCACGTTAGAGGCTGGCAGTAAAGGATCAAGAGGGCCTGCATTAGTTTCACATTTCGGTGACAAGGGAGTGACTGCGGGGAAAGGGTGATATAAAGGTCTATGCCAGCTGCGCCAATGCTTCCATACCCTGTTCTGGGAGGAGAGGCAGAATACTAACCCGCAACCTCAAAGGTGTAAAAGCACAGCCCTGAGCCGGCTCACGCGCAGCAGCCAGCAGCGTAGGCCGAAGGGCCAGCCATCCCGATGCTCCTGCGTATATGGCATTTAGCGATGGGCCAGGCAAAGTGCTTGGGGTTTTCCCTCTGGGCGGAGATACATGGTGTCGCACCGTTGCAGAAGGGTGCTCTCAGGGGCAAGCGAGATAACATTAGCGGACCCGCTGCAAAAGTTAACGAGTTCCCTGGGAATAGGGTCTGCGCGCAGATGCCAATGGATCGGGCCTTGAAAACAGGACGCCAGCGGGCAGCGCAATATTGGGGAACCGGAAGCTGTCTGAGGAGTAGAGTCAAACTTGCACTAGGGCCTCGTGCTCAGGGGGCGTGCCCGGGGGCGTGTCCTGAAGCGAAAGCGGGTCAAGCTGATATCCCGCTGTGGGGGTGGAACCCGAGCTAGCGGTGGCCGGGTCCTAGGGTCAGAACCCGGGTGAACTTAAGGACCTGCCGGAATGAGAGCGCCCGGGAGGCGGGGCTGACTGGAGCCGGGGCGGTAGGGGCGGAGCGGAGGCGGGACCGGTCGTGGAGAGGCAGCTTCTAACTCGCAGGAAGCCGCGCTCGAGGCTGCGCGCAGGGTTCCAGCCCAAAGTCGAGGGAAACCAGTGAGCTCAGGTTCTTCAGTCCAGGCAGCGCCTCGCTCTTCCTGGCTTTCCCAGTGTCCTGCAGTGACCTTCGTTGACCCCCGGAAGCCCTCTCATGGACCTTCCCACACTCCCCGAGTGACCTTATCGTGCTTGTGGCTCAGTAGTCCCAAGTCTTTGTCTCCAGCCCAAACTTCTTTCCCCTGCGGGCCAGCCCACTTGACATCTCCACAATGACGTCTCTTAGGTCTCTCAAACTCGCCCCGTTTCAAGTGACCTCAGCTGTCCCCAACCTGCCCCTCCTCCCCTCTTGTTCCAGCCATCACCCTACCACCTTCTAAGGGTTTGCGGTCAGGAAACTGGCCACCACTGTGGATGTCACCTCTTCTGCCCTTGCAACTAGTCCTCATGACATCCTGGCAAATCTGCCTCTTCTCCCCATCATCACTGTAATCACCTAGTTTAAGTCACCTTCTCTCCCTCCAGGACTGCGGCTAGCTACATCTTCCTGCAGCCAAAGGGTTCCGCACCCAAATCTCATCTGTCACTCTCCCTTTAAACATCTATCAGCCACACGATCAGGTCCCAGTTTTGTGCAGACACACTTCCAAAGTGACCAGAGCCTGCCTTCCACACTGCCACTTAAGAACTCCTCATTATAGCTCCCAATCAAGAAAAGCTGGGCCATGGTATTCAGAACCGCCATTCCAGGATGGCTTGTGCACTCCCCACAACCCTTTCTGATCCAGCTCCAGCCACTTGAATCCTGGATTCCTGCATGTGACAGGACCACACCCTACTGGGATACCCTAGCCATCTGTGCCTGGTCAACTCCAACTCAACCTTTAAAACTCAGTCCTTGTGTCATCTCCTCCATGAAGCCTCCCTCATCTTCCCTATTACTTAAAGCTTAGTTCACCCCCAGAGCCCAAGTTAACAGAGACTTGTGGCCTAGTTTCAGCAGAGTAAGCTTTAGCCAGCCTAGGGAAGGGCCTGGATGAAGCACGTGATGTTGGACAAGTCAGTGCCCTGTCTGGGTTTCAGATTGGAAACCTAGAAAACACAGGGTTTAGACAAAGTCCAAGTTTGGGCCTGATGGTGCCTCTCATAGGATAGCCCCAGTCTGGTGGGGGATTGTGGACCAGTGAGCAGAGAAGTGGGTTGAGGGCCAGTGTCCTCTGGGATATGGAACAGAGAAGCTGCCACCCCTGGAATTCGGTCCTGCAAGATGTGGTCAGGTGGTCAAAGGGACTAGAAAGGCTAGTAACTAGAAAGAAAGAATATGGCCTTCCCTGAGAGACACATGAGGCACAGTCAGCCTCTTCCTGACCCCCAAACTCTGTCCCTCCCCTGTCTTGAAGATCCATTCTGTTTCTCTGTCCCTGATCTCAGGCCCCTGGGTTTGGTTCCAGAACCAGGAGACCTAAGCAGGGTAGGTGTGGAATATGGAAATCGGACACCAATTTCCCAACAGAACCAAATAAATGTTTGTGGGAGAGAAGCCAAAGGGTGGCCTAACCGCAGAGACCCCCTCAGAGCCAGCCCAACCCTAGGCTAATATTCCCAGGCCTGTCCTTCTAATTTGTCTTGGGAGCTTCACGTGGCCTCAGGTGTACCCCCGCAACACGTCTTGAACACATGTACAGACACTGATACTGTGGCTTCTTTACTCCCTGTCGTCCCCTTGTCTCCACAAAATATTTACAAACAGGGACGAATAGGGCACCTTTGCCACCAAATGGACTGGGGAGTTGGGGCAGTGCTCAGACACGCCTTGGCGCAGGGAGGGATCCTGAGGAGGGCCCAGGGCTGGTGTGACCCAAGTACTCTGCAGGGCCCAGGCAGTTCTAAGTAGGTCCATCGTTAGCCTGGGGCTGTGGGTGAGCTCAGGCCAGGTCCGGAGCGGGGGAGCCCAGCTGCTTGGAAGCCAGGAGCAGGCGGGTGGCGGCGCTCTCCGACTCAGCCAGTAGCCGCTGGTTGTTGTGCCGCAGGTTCCTCACCTCCTCCTCCAGGGCTGCCCTGTCTGCCTTCTCCTGTGTGTGTCGGGCCAGCAGGAACAGGGTCAGAACAGCCACCCCTTTCCTGTGGCAGCCCTATGACTCTGTGCCAGCCCCAGGCCACCTCATCACCTTCTGAAGGTCTTCCTGCAGCTTCCTGAGCATGGACTCCAGGTGAGAGACTTTCTCTGATAGACTCCCAGGTTCTGGCCTGAGGACATGAGGTCAGAACTCAGTGGGACCATCACAGGGGCAGCACCAGAGGCTGACTCTCAGAAGCCCCTTGAATGTGCAGCACCCAAACCCTGTCTTCCGAGACTTAGGTGGATAATGCTTAACTCCAATGGACAGGCACAAAGGGTGGCAGAAGGGCACATGAAGGGGCTATGTGAGGGTGGGAAGCCTTACTCAGCATCAGACTTTGGAGTTCCCTTGGGGTCTCCGCTCTCTGGGATGGGCTGTCCTATGGGACAGAGGGGCCATGTGGGCAGGTCTGAAAGGGAGAAAGAATCCATCCCCTCCTGGCTCTTCCTCCCAGTACCCTGGTGGCCTTACCCTCCCGGGATAGTGACTCGAGAATGGTGTTGCAAGTGGAGGCAATCTCTGAGATGGACTGCCACTCGTCCTCCAGGGTCTCACTGCCGGCCTCTGACATGACTGTGGGCACAGGAGGGGGCTCAGCAGGGGGAGTCACAGAGCCACCCTCCCCCTCCGTGCCCACTACTCCAGACTCACTCTTGCTGATAGAGTTCCTCAGAGACAAGGTTCGTGGCAAGAAGGAGGCCCTCAGTTCTGGGGCTGAGTCCTCATGGCCACTGGGGCTGCCTGGCCGGTCCTGGGGGACAGAAATGGATGTTGATGCAGTGATACCAACTGTCACCTCTATGCCACTGGGCTCCAGAGCCTTGTTTCTACTCACCTTGAAGGGAGGTATCTCTCTGCCAGCACCAGGTGTCGATGGCTTGGCAGTGGTGGCCAGTAGGAGGTCCGGGGTGGTGTCAGGCAAGACTGGGGCCTCATCTGACAGGGAGCTGGGAAGAGCAGGGGTGGCTCAGACCTGGAAGCTGGTTTCCCAGAGCCTTGCCTGCCCAGGCCCCACCAAGCTGCCCAAGAGAGTGCACCTGTGGGGCGATGGTGGGTTCTGGCTGTGTAGGAACTCAGTCCTCTCCTCTGCCAGATCCTTAGCCCCTGGAGGGCCACTGCCATCCTGCAGGCATAGGTGCAGCAGCTGCTTTGTGGTGGGCAGCAGGACTACCTTGGGGGTCTCATCCTGCAGAGGTTCTGCAGCTCCCCGCCGGCTGGGCTCCTGCAGAGACAGCGTGTACAGCTCCGAAAAGCTCCTGGGGAAGATGGGGAGGGGTGGCATCAGGAAGGACTCCCAGCATCGCCAGGCCCATCCCTAGATGCAGCCAGAGGCTCACCACCAGGGGAGAGCGCCCCAAACTCCCTAACAGTGAAAAACGTGTGCCTACTTGCTGCCCATTCTTCCAGACCTGGGCTCAAATCCCAGTGCTATCCTATGTATCCTGGGCAAATCACTCCAAATGTCCCATCTATGAAATGGGACAATAGCGCTAAGCTTGTATCATGCTATGAGAGTTTAAACAGCCCATGCAATTGCTTAAGTATCCCAAATTCACTGCCTTGAGCTAAATTTGGCCAGTGCCTTTCCCTTTTCTAGAACATGTGCCTGTTTTAGCAACTCATATGAGCTAAGAATGACTAGATGTTTAAATAATTGAAAGAAATCAAAAGAATATTTCATGACAAGTAGAAATTAGTTCAGACTTAACACAATTTGACTTGTGATTTTTGGACCTTGGGATATGTCGGTTAATTACAGTAACCCCTTCATAAGGCAAGGAGCATCTATGTGAAATCCAAATAGTTCAGTGTCCATAAATAGTTTTAGTGGAACTCAGCTGCACTTATTCATTTACCTACAGCGGCAGAGATGAGTAGATGTGGAAGAGACAGGAAGTCCCAGAAAGCCTGAAATATTTACTGTCTGGCCCTTTACAGCCTTAGCAGAGTAAATAAACAATAGTGGGAGGGGTTATAGTGGTGGCCATCTAATCTTGTGAGCAGTGAAACCAATGGTGCTTAATTGGTTCCACTCTATGTAAAGTGCAGTTCAGAGAGGTCAGGACACAAAGGACTCTCAAAGCACACACATGCAAATCCCGAGAACGCTGGTGGCCACACAGGAGGCACAGGCTGCCCAGTCCTCCCACTACCCAGTGTCCCCAGCGCCCTGACCTGCGGGGCCTGCCGCTCTCATCGGGGGGCAGGACAGTGACGCAGACCTTGGGCGCAGAGCGTAGCAGCTGGGCAGCAGCCTCGGGGCCAAGGCTGGGCAGCGTCTGGCTGCATACGCGCAGCAGGCGCGCCCCGGGCCGCAGCCCAGCAGTCTCAGCAAACGTGAAGCGCTCCACATGCGTGATGAAACCCTCCGCGTCCACCTCGAAGCCCAGGCGGCCCTGGCCGTCGCGGGGAAGCGCCAGCTCCCGGGTCTCGCAACCTCGGCTTACCAGCTGCAGGACGGGGTGGGGTGTGGGCGGGGCTACCAGGAGGCGGGGCCAAGCCAGCGCCCCCGCCCCGCCCCGCCTCACAGCAAGGCTTTCCCCGCCCTCCCTGAAGAGCTTTAGTAGCCGAAGGACGGGTGAAGACCTGAGGCTCGGACACTAGAGGTCTCCTGCGGGAGCTTAAATTCCCACGCTGGTTTTGCCTCTTTCCTGGACTTTCCCTTTCGGGGGTGGTGGGGACTCCAAAACACGCTTCTTCTTGGCGCGTGAGGGCACCCTGGCGGCCAGTGCCCTTGAGCCCCATGTTTATTCCCTGGCCTCTTTTCCTCCAGGCTTACCTGCAGGCGCGCCACGACCTCGCCCACCGCTTGTCCGGGGTCCCCTTCGAACCGCAAGGTGATCGCCTCCCCGCGGCCATGGTACAGGTCGAGCTGCTGCTCGGAGAAGGTCCAGGCCAGCACATCACGACAGGCACAGTTGAAGACTACGCGGTCGTCCCGAGGCGCCACCAGCACCAGTGCCTCCGCCGAAATGCCCAGCAGGCACGGCACCTCGGCACTGTCGGGTCCTCCTGCTTGGGCTCCGGCCGCAACCCGCGCCCCTGGAGCTGCGCGCACGCCCCACATCAGTGCACCCGCCGCCTGCAGCTCAGTGCCTGGTCCCCGAGGGGTGGCCCGGCGCCTGCCGCCTAGGGAGGGCAGGCCAAAGCGGGAAGCTGAGTCCAGCGATGTAGTCGTCACCTCATTGGTAGCCAGGTCCTGTAAGTATTGCTGGCGCGTGCGTGTAGCCATGGCGTGGAATTGGCGTGCATGTGTGGCTGCCTGCTCACCATTGAGAGCCTTGGCGAGCAGGAAGGCCCGGAAGTCAGCGTTGGCTGCAAAGGGGCCTCCACCCGGGGGCAGAGCTGGTCCAAAGGCTGGAGTGTCCTGGGTGCGGCTCACAGCCACCCTGTGCAGAGGAAGGCTGCAGTGAAGGACAGCAGAGGGGCTCCTGGACCCAGTGCCCATGGGAAACCTGGGATGACCCAGGTGCCCACCTGTAGGACGTGTGCTGCGTGCAGGGAGCATGCGCCCGCACCACTAAGAACACATGCTGGAAGTGCGAACGGATGGTGGTAGGGCAGAAGGGCTTGCTGCCCGGCTCCTGGAACACGATGGTCACAATGTCATTGCCGATGTGACGCTTCCTCAGGAGCTGGGGGTTAGATGGTGGAGAGTGGGTGAGAGGCACTATGTACCCCCAAACCCCTCATTCAGGCAGGGCAAATCCTCGACCTGACTAGCACCGCCACCTATCTCTGGTGAAGGCGTAAGGTGTTTATCTTTGGGAAGGTGCTTCCAGAGGGAAGGGTTGCAGGGGTCAGGAGAGCTCAGGCCAAGGCTCAAGTACTGCCACCCACACAGTACTCTCCAAGACTCCCCAGAACCCCTGCCAGTCCCCACCCTGTGCCAGGCCCCTCACACCTGCTGCTGGTTATTAGGAGTGTAAGGCAGCATCGTGGACACGTGGAACATGATCTCATGGTCCTGGTACGTGGTGTAGAGGGAATGCGTGCCCGTGGAATCCGCTGTGGCCGGGGAGTTGGGGACACAGAAAACAAAGGGAGTCCGGATGGCTTAAACCTGCCATCCTGTTCACACTCAGGAGCCTCCATGCTCCAACAACAGGCAGACAACCCCTTCATGCCACCAGCCAGAGCCTAAGCCACAGGGTCTGAGGCCTTCAGCTTTGGCTGCTCCCCTCCCCTCCCCCACAGGCTGCAGCCTCACACCAGCGTGAAGGGGGTCAGGACAAGGGTGTGGAGATAGAACCAAGACAGAAGTGAGAAAGGGTCTCAGAAGGAGACAGGAGTGAGTGTCTTAGGAGGGAACTGATGGCCTGAGCACAGAGGCCTCTCCCAGAGGCCCCTGGGGCCCATCCATCTAGGGAAGTGGGGTGTTCCCCTGGAAGCTGGCTTCCGTGTTGGAGGAGTGATACCTCCAAAACCACTGGGCCCCAGCTCAGGCAATAGGGTACCAGGGCCTTGGAAGACAGCCCTGGACCCTTCTTCCAGCCCATAGCCTGGCTTTGCAGCCAGACATGTCCTCAGCCCCAGACTCTGGACAAAGAGTCACAAGGGACCCCAAGGAATGCTGCCCTCAGTACAAGTTCTGCCCCTTCCCCACTAGCCCCCAGGGCCTCACTTTTGGTGTCTAGCTGGGCCCGGTAACTCTCAAAGCCTTTGAGCCGCACCACATCGCCCAGCAAGGTGAGGAACTGCGTGAAGGCTGCCCCCGCCTCCTGGTTGTTGTACATCTCCTCCTCTGAGCCCTGGCCGGCCCGGCAGTACAGGATGCCCACCTTGCGCTGGAAGCTCAGCTGGGGGAGAAGAGGGTGGCAGAAGGCACAGGCCTCAGTATCCCATCAATCCCACCCTGACCGTGTTATGGGGAACAGTTGGGACCCTGGCCTGGGGGTTTGGCCTTGAGTCCCAGCCCTCTCTGAGCCACTTCTATGTCCTCACTAGTCAAGTGGGTATAGTCTACTCAGGAGGGGAGGATGGGGGCAGTTAGTCCTCCTGTGAGGATGGAGCAGGCCACGCACACAGTGTACTCGTGGCCCAGAAATGTTCCTGTTGCCATCCTGCTTGACTCAAGCCTAGACCAGCATCCCCTTCTTTGAATTTGAGGTGCCCCCACCCCAGCCCCATGAACCATCTCTGTTCCCAGCTCTTTTCCATCTGTGGATAACCATGCACAGCTCAAGGCTCTCTGATCCCTGGGGTCTCCCCAACTCTTACATCCCTTCTTCATGGCTAAGCTCAGAGCTAGAGCCAGGCACGCAGGAAGCCCAGGTTCAACCCTGGCAATACACACACATACACATACACACACATACATACACACACACACACACACACCTCGACTTCTTCTGCAGCCAAGGGATGCAGCCCCATCCCAGGACTCTCTTGGCCACCTCTGGCTCTGACAAACGGGCCTCTTCTCCACCTATGTTTCTCCCCTCAGTGGCTGCGGTGGCCACCTCCATGGGATGACACCCCCTCTCTGAGTCCAGTCCAGACAATTCTTCCAAACTCCAGGCCTCCTTCCCCAGCTGCCAGGTACCCTGCCAGCACTCTGGCACCTCATCTCCTCGCTGCCACTCTCTGGTCCCTTTTCCTCCTCCAGGGTCTCCGACTCCATGAAAACACCATTCTCAGGGGCCAAGAAGCTGAGGAATCTCAATCTTCCCTTTTTCAGTCAGTCACAAGGGCTACTGACTCTACCCCTGGACTGTCACTTTCTTGTCACCTCCTCTATCATCACCAACATGTCTAGCTTGGATAACTGTATTGACCTTTGACCTGGCCTCTCTGCCTTCTGCTCCAGCTTCGTCTCCTGTAACCAGAGGGCCACTGTGCCTCTCAGATCCAGCCATTGCTTCTCAGTGCCCCTGGGACCAAAAACAAGCCTCTCTCATCCCCCCTCAAGCTGTCCTCCACGCACACTAAAGTGCATGTGACACTCTCTTAGTCTCAACCATCATCCAAGTTGTTTCTTCAGCCCAGAAGCCTTGCTCAACATTGTCTGCAAAAACACCCCGCTCATCTTGGCTTGAGCTCTTGCATTACCTCCATAGTGTAAAACCCCAGCTGAGGAAGCGCATCAGCACCAGCCCTCCAAAGTCCCCTTGCTAATGTTCTGTTCCTGTATTCCAACAGTTCTCAGTAGATCTCTCTCCACACCCAGCTGTGAGCTACTCAAGGAAAGCACCTGGCCTGGACCTGTCCCTAGTGTCCAGCCTGGGGCCTGACACCAAGAGTGTATGAGACATATTTGTTGAGTGATGGGTGAAGGACACAGAAGAGGAGAGTCAGGGTCAGGGGGCAGCTTTCAGCACAGGGTAGAAAAAAGAATTTCCCGCTGGCCTGACTGTCCCAAAGTAGAACAGGAAACTTTGGGAAGAAGTAGCAAACCATATTGAAAGGAGAATAAGCAGGTGCCACAAGGCAAACTGGTCAGGAATGACAAGAGAACAGCAGAAGCCCTAGGGTCAGTCAGACCAGGGAGTCTGGGTCTTAAAAGTACACATGCACCACTGTGGAGTTTTTTTTAAATGCAGACTCTGGTACAGTGGGCCTGGCCTGGGACCCCCAGAATCTGCATTTCTGATAAGACCCTAGAGGCTGAGGATGCTGGTGGTCTTCAGACCTTTGAGAAACAAGGCTCCAGATGACCCCTGATGGTTTCAGAAACACTGGAGATGGACTGGCTTTCTCTAGGCTGGGGGGATGGGCAGACTGGGTCTACTTGTAAGGCAGGGTCTCCCCATCCTGGCCACTCACCACTTGTTCATCCAGTGTAAGGAGGGTGCGAGGCACCTTGGGGGAAGCCGAGCCCAGACGCAGGCATGTTGGGCTTAATCGTGGTGCCACATGCTCCAGAAGTTTCCTCGGAGACAGGCCTCGTGGGGGGCCTGGTGGCAGTGCGTCCTCTGAGATGGTGCCTCGGAGGGTCCGGAGCTGAAAGGATGTTGGGGCACTTAGGACCAGATGGGGTAAGGATGAGGGGACCTGCGTCCTGATCCCATGATCCTGGCCCACCTGTGTGGTCCGGACAATGATGCGGTAGCTGTGCTGGGTACTCCCTCCGCTGCCTTCTTTCTCCTCCCGCCGCAGGCTCACTGCCACCGGGCCCAGCACCTCGTCCATCCCGAAGAAGTTCTGGTGTTCTGGGGAGGGGCAGGCTGTGGACGATCAGTCAGAGCCCCCTGGCAGTTCTGCCTGCCAGGATCTACCACACTCATCACTAGGTCCCAACTCACCAAGTATAGTCCCTGAGCTTCCTTCTGAAGCCCAGCCCAAATCACAACTTGCCCAAGACCTAAAAGGCCAATGCCTGACTGCACCCAGGCGCAGATGCTGCCTGGCCCCATCCCCACACCCATATTTTTCGTTCTAAGAGAATCTCTTTTCATAGCAAAGGTGAGAACAAGGTTTCTAAGCGTAGGCCTTTCAGGCCCAAGTTTTCCCCTCACAGAAATGTGGACAGAAAATCTCTTTCCAGCTTGGTGGGTTACGAGGATGAACCAGCGGGGTGTGCCTTGGCTGGGGATGAAGGGCCAGGGCTTGCCCTTAAGGAGGTGAGCCCAGCAGAGCCCTGGCTCAGTCCCTTTCCTTCCTAAAGCCAGGTACTTTACAGGGAAAAAAAAAAAAAAAACAACCCTGACCCCTCTACTGTATGCACTGCAGGTGACAGGGACCTCTGTCCCAGCCCCCTCCTCCCTCTCCCCCAGACAGCCTGCACTCACCTTTACCATAGAAGTATTTGCGGTAGTAGCCAGCACCCAAGTCTGCGTGCTCCAGGCTGTAGGCCGCAGTCCGGTTCTGTGGCTCTTCCAGGACAGACACGGAGGCGTTGGGCAGTGCAGGGGGCACAGGTGGGGACACTGGTCCACCTAGGCCTAGCTCGCCCTCACCCCCAAGCTCGCTCACAAATCCAGGTGCCCCAAGCAGCAGGTCTGAGCTCGCAGCCTGGTCCTCGACTGAGGCCGGGGTCCCAGAGCTGGATTCCACATGGCCCCCTGTTCCCCGTGGCCGTGGAGCCCAATCAAAGAGCATGCTCTGGACATCATAGTGAGCAAACCACCGGGGCTCCAGCACTGGTGGGAAGGTGGGCTCTGGTTCCTCAGCAGGCAGCCCCAGCAATGCCAGTGGGTCCGTGAAGAGCCGGGTGGGGGCTGCAGCAGGACGACTGGCTTCCTCGTGACTGTGGGCCCTGGCCCGAGGGCTGGCTGGTGTAGGGGGTCGGGCCTCGCCTGCATCACTGCCACTGCGCAGGAGTGGGCCACTGCCACTGCGCAGGAGTGGGCCCCGAGCTGGCCTTGGCTCGAAGGTGTGTGGTGTCAGTGGGGGCCTGGCTGGCTGGCGCAGCTTACGGGCGAAGAGGTCATCGCTGGGTGCTGGGGCCATGCCCCGCCGAGGGCTCCCCACGCCGCCGGCCCACATGGGCATGCTCTGTGGGCCTGACTCTCTGGGAGCCGGGTTGCATTGGCAGACAAGGGTGCTTGGTGCCCAGCCTGAAGGCCGAGGTTGTGGCAGCTAGCTGTTTCTGCCCTGAAGGAGGAGGGGGCTGTTCAGAGGGGCCTGGGGAGAAAACAGGAACCCAGGCCCCTAGCCTGGTCTTCCACCACCCCGGTTGGCTTCCGGCCCCCTCCGAGACCATCAAAGCTGCTTCCGCTTTCCTGGCCACTTCCTTGTCTGCCTAGGGCTGAGGTTTCCAGCCCCTTCCCTGGTTAGTGTGGGCTGGGCTATGGTGCCTTGGCCCTGAGGGTCCTAAAGCCTAGGCAGCCCTGAGGCTGCCAAGTCCCACTTAACACACCTTTGCTTTGGCCTGGGCCCAGAGTAAAGGTCCCCGCCAAGGCCTGGCCCAAAGGATAGACAACTGGTTTGGGCTGAGACGGGAAACCCATGGGGCCACTGGTGTCTGGGTCCTGCCTGCTTGACAAAGGGAGGACGTCCTGTCCCCAGAGACCTTCCTCCCTGCACCTCCCACTTCCTCCAGGGTCCCTGAGGACCTGAGCACCCAGAGGCCTGCTCTCAGTGCCCTGGCTCCTACAGTCTCAATACCTCAGGGAAATAGGGGCTCCCAGGGCCACAGGAAGGGCAAGAAGACTTCCTTCAACACAGGAAATGGTCCCATCTTTGGGCCCAGCCCCCTTCCAAGCCCGCACATCATGAGGAAGGGGCTGAATCACTCAGCTCAGTCATGGGACCCAAATCACCCTAGCTTGAGAGAGAGACCCCAGGCCCATCCTCTTGCAGATTACTATGCCCACACCTGAAAGCAGGAAAGGGCATGCTAGAACTCAACACCCAAGCCCCTTTGATAGAACTGGAATCCATGGGGACCTCTGCCTATGTGATCTCAGTGATATGGACAGGGAAGTCTGAACTTCATGTAACAGATCAGTCTGGGGTCCAGAAAAGAGATGCTCTTGCCTATTAGCAATTCCATGTAAGAAAAAGTCTGAATCTCCAGGGCCTTAACAGAGCTGCACCAGCACACCCCTGTCCCTGTGTGCTTAGAGGGCTGGGGATGTGGCTCAGTGGTAGTGCACTTGGGTTCAATCCCCAGTAGTGAAAAAAATGAAGAAAAAAAAGGAACCTGCGTAGGTGTGGAGCAGGTGGGGGTTGGGCCAAGCAAGGCTCTCAGTCTCACAGGATGTAAGACTGAGACACCCAAGGCCCCAGAGACCTGCTGAGTGAGGAAATGAGGTGAGCCCAGGGGCAGGTGTGAAAGGTGGTGTGAGAACATGAGGGGGAGCCACCCCCTGCCCCTGTGAACACTTTATGGAGTGGGCAGCCAGAGCAGGGGCCTGGGGACTTTCAGCTGGCCTTCAGAACCAAACAAGGGTAGGCTTCCAAAGCTCAGGGTGCCTCCAACCTTGGTTTCTTGGGACAGGCTCTGATGTGGACCTTGAGCCTCTGTTTTCTCATCTCTAAAAGGGGTTAACTATCCCTGTTCCCACTGAAGACTGCAGGGAGACTGAAAGGAGGGTGAAGCCATTGGAGCTAGCCATCTATGTGCATGACAGATGCAGGCTCCATGTGCCAAACTCTGGGCACGGGCAGGCTTGGGCTGGGTAGGCATGGGGGTGGGTGGGGAGAGGGTATGAAGAAGGGGGTCTGTGCAGGTTCCTGCTCCATGTGGCTAAGCTCTGGACGTGTGTGTAAGGGAGCTCTGTGAGTGTGTGCAGCCCAGCCCAGGGATCGACTCTTGCCTTGGCCCAGTGCCGGGCTCTACCCCTGCCTTGGGGGTGTCTTGGATTCTGCCCCCCATCCCACAGCTTTACACAGGGTCCATTGAGGCCAGGACATTCCTTGCAGTTTGTGTCACTTGCGGGGAAGGGGCAGCTCCGCCCCCACAGATCCGGAAGGCCTGGCTGCCCCAGGAGGCGGCCCTGGACGCTTCCCAGCACATCTGGAGGTCATGACCCCATCTCTGCTGCCAGGGGGCGCGACAGATGTTTCCTCCCAGCCCAGGCCCAAGACTGGGGGGTGGTGTGCAAAAGCTGGAGAGGAGGCCACCCAAAGAGAAGGGGAGACCCAGAAGAGGGGGAGTACCCCCCAACTCAGCAGAAGGGGCAGTTGCCAGCGCCAGAGAGGAGTCAGGCGTCACTGAATCCACTCACCGGCTCACCAGTCGGGTTAAGCCGTCATGAAGAGGAGGGACTGGGAGTCGTCAGACGGAGGCAGAGGACTGGACATGCTGACTCGGGACTGAGCTGGAGCCGGAGGGAGGTTGGGAGGGTGCAGGCAGCGAACGCGGTGAGAAGCCTCGTCTCCACCCCAACACCACCAGTGCTTGCGGCCAGGCCACTTTGTCCCTGTCTGGCCCGACCTCAGGGCTTCCCGAACCCCACTCCCACCAGTACCTCTGGGGCTCCCGCCCAATCGATCACAGCAGCCTCCCGCGCTGGGGTCTTGCTGCCAGTCCTCCAGCTCCGGCTCCCGGCTCGGCTCCGGCTCCGCCTGGGGGCGGGGCCATGTAGGGGGCGTGGTCAGGCGGAGGGGCGGGGCGGTTGCTTCAAGCGCGCCTGGGTCTGTCTGCGGCGGGAAGCGCAGGGGGCGGGGACTCCAGGCCTGGCCACGGTCAGACCAGTGTTCAGCAGGAGGCCAGGCCGACCTAAGCGCCTCCTGCCACCCTTTATGCTGGGCCCACGTTCTGGCTGAGGAATGGGAACAAGTGTACCTGCCTTCCAGAAGGACACCTTGCGTCCAGCTCCCCTCCAGCACTCAGCAGGTGCCCAGGATGCCCAGCCCCCGACTCTGGGTAAATGCTCTATACACCTGTCTCATTTATTGTAGAACACCTTACAAAGGTGTCCTCATCACCTCTTTAAGGCTTGGAGTATTTGAGGTTCAGAGAAAGGCTATGGCCAAGGTCAAGGTTGAGGAATGTAGGATCCATAGGGCTGGAAATTTTTGAACATACTGGAGTGGGAAATGCAAAACAACCACCTTCACATCAAGGCTTCTAAAGGGAACAGGATTGTGGGGAAAAGGACCCATCTTACCTGGTCCCCACCTTGGTCTGACCCCTATCTCCTTCATCCCTTAGTCCCCTTCCATGCACATCCACCCTTAGCCCCCATCGCTACCCTATACCCATTTTCAGAGAGAAGAAACTGCCAATCAAAATCAAAAATAGTGTTATTAATTCTGGTGTCTCTGAAGCACGAAAAAAAAAATGACCAAAAAAAAAAAAAAAGAAGAAACAACCCTTGCCACATTTCAAGCCCCAGGTCCAGGACAAGGGGACCACCCTTGCAGGCAGTGCAGGCCCAGGGACCAAGTCAGTCCTGGCCATGGGCTCAAAGCGGGACCAGCCCATGGGTTTGGCTTTTAGGGCCTGGCTGGGAAGCTGACTGCCTCAGTTTGGGGTACCCAGGCCGTAAATTAGGAATGAGATCAGGGGTCAAGGTCAGAGGTCCAGGCCATTCAGTTCTGGTACTTTGGCTGAGGCAGCCAGAGGTCAGGGTTCAGATGTGGGAGCCAAAGCCACTCAGTTCTGTGGTCCAACAGAGAGGGCCAGAGGCAGCAGAGGAAGTCCAAGTTACTGAGTCCTATGATGGGATCCAGTGGACGCCAGGCTGCTCAGTATTGGTGCTCCAGCAATGGCTGGGCAGCCGGACTTTCGCGTTCCTCAGCAGGGACAGGCCAGTCAGCTGGGGCCTCAGTGGGTGTGCCACTCTCGGGAGCACTGCTGTCCAAGCAAGAAATATCCTGTGCTGCTCTGGGGGGTGAGGCCTCAGAGCTGCCATCCGGGCTGAGGCTGAGGTCTAGAGGCACCTGGGGGAGAAGAGACAGGTTGGCAGGAGAGCAGGATTGAGCCTTCTGCAACCCAACCCCCCAACAGGCCCTTTACCTGAGATTTGGGGGTGCCTCCTTTGGGGCTCCCTGAGGCTGGTTCTCCATCAGATCCTCCCAGACCCTTCCGACCCCCCAGGCTCCACTTTCCACTGGGCCCCTCAGAACCGAGACCAGGACCAGGGGGCCGCGAGGACCGGGGACCCTCAGTGGGAACAGGTGAGGCAGGGGGTGGACCAGGGAGCCGAGGGGGAGGCCACTGCAATAGAGCAGGGGGACGTCCATCACCAGAGCTGCTCAGGGAAGGCCGCGGCCCCCAGCCAGGGCCTGGTGGGAGGGGTTGGTCGCCACTGCCTGTAAGACACAGATAAGGGAGCAGACTTCAGCTCGGCTGCCATCCTCACCCACCAAGTCAGCCCAGCCTTGCCTGCTCACCTGCTGTATTCTCAGGCGTCGGGTGTGCCAAGGGGGGATTAGCACTGAGGGAAGTCAGGCCGCTGCCCCCACCACAGTCCGAGTCATCCACATTCCCACCGCTATTGCAGCCAGCACCACAGCCCTTATGAAGCCTGGAGGTGGGGAGATGAAAGGGTCGGGAAAGACAAGGCTGTGGCCACAGGCCTCATGAGCATAAGTCCCCACCCCCAGAACAAGTCATCCAATGTCTGGGAGCCCCAGGTCCTCACCTCTAAGGGCCTTTTGACAGAGTTTTCAATTATGCTTAAAGATGAAAGGCCACTGTCAGCTCTAGGGAAAAGGGGACACCTCTGGGGATGACAGCTCACATCAGTTCTGGGAGGGGCCATTTTCTGGGGTTCAAGCCCTAGCTCCAGCACTTCCTCACTTGAAGACCTGGGCAGGAACTGCACCTATGCTCCCTCTGAAGCCCAGCACCTCAGCCCTTTATGAGGCCTTATGGACTAGGGGTGGCGGCGAGGGCTCACCTCTCCCAGCTGCGCAGGAGCCAGCGGGTGATGGCACCCAGGCTGATGGGGCCGCCCCACAGCGCTCGCAGCTGGGGGTGGCTGCCAGCCAGTGAGGTGGTGAGGGGTGACACATAGATGGGGTAGCCCAGTGGCTGGTCACAGGAGGAATTGATCATGTTGCGGAGTGCCTGCTTGGCGTTCTGGATGCTGCCACGCTCAGGGTTGCGGTTACGCAGGAACACCAACTCCTGCTGCTGCCCAGCCCACAGGCCACGCACGCACTCGCGATTCACCTGTGGGCAGCCACACTGAGGGTCAGGGATCTAGCTCCATGGACAGGGGCCTGGGCTGAAGGGAGGTAGGCCATCCCCACCTTGATGACTCGGAAGCTGAGGTGGCGGCGGTTTAGCATGATGATCTTGTACTCATCAGATGCATCGTCCATGACGTGGCGCAGTGCCAGCAGGGAGGGTGTGTTGCTGAGGATGGCACTACGCCAGGCTGGGTCACCTTCATGTGAAATGACCAGCCGCTCCTCGTTGGCTGCAATGGCATCATACAAGGCCGCAGGTTCCTCATATTCATCTGGGGATGTGAAGTGGTCCTGGCAGGCGGGATGGGAGGGCAGGAGTCAGGGGCCCCTGCACTGAGTGAGCCTTCAGCCCCCACCTGCCCAAGCAGCCTGGGCACACCACTCTCCCACCTGGTGAAGCTTGAGAGCCATGCGAACCCCAGGTGCCACTACACGGTGAAGCAGGTCCATGTCGGCAAAGACCCACTCATCACGTGGGGAGGTGATGCGAAAGTCCCCCTTGAACAGAGCGTGTAGGCCATAGAGGAAGGGCTCCAGGCTGGTCAGGGAGGAGGAACATGGAGGTGAACGAGGGGTGGGAAGGAGCCAGGCATCTCAGGTTTCTGAATCATGTGAGCTGAGACCTTTCCTCACACTGAACCTCAGTTTTCACATCTCTCCAAGGAAGCCAGTCTCTGCCCATGTCCCTCAGAGTGCTGAGGAACAGGCAAAGTGATGACTGAGAAGCGCCTGGCCCATATGAAACAAGCTACACCAACAGGAAAGACCAACTTGGTTTCCAGAGCCACTGAGCTCTGCACGCATGGGTGAAGGGAGAGTAGTAGACCAGCGGGACACATGCACTCACCTGGCAGACATGCTGTGAGAGGCTGTCCCCAGGGCTCGGCGGCCCAGTACACACAGGCCAAAACACAGCGTGACCAGCGGCGAGTTCCAGTCCTGGTCCACGGGCTGTGGCACAAGGAGCCCCATCCCCAGAGCCCCATTCAGACCTGGGACTGGGAACTTGAGGTAGGGGCCAGGGCCCAGGCCAAGGGAGTCTCAGGGTGAGAAGAACCCAAATGGGAAGGGGAGAAGTGGAAGAGGGTTCAGGTCCCCAGAGGCCTGGTGGGGGCAGCCCCAGGGTAGTGGTGGCCCAACCTGGCCACGCCGGGAGGCGCAGTACTGGATCCACTCGAGGTGCACAGCACAGAAGGAAGGCAGCGAGAGGCCGGAAAGGCGAAGGTCATAGTCCTCATCCACACTCAGCGAAAAGGTGGGATCTGAGTCGGCATAGCCGGGGGCTCTAACGGGCCGCAAAGCAGCTGCGATGCCCTCGTGGCTCAGCCAGGCCTCCAGCTTTGGGGAGCGGCTCACATAGTAGATGATGCTCTGGGAGAGGAGGAGCAGGTGTTGGACTGTGTGGAGGGCAGCCCACCCCTGCCCCAGCACTGGGGGGAAACATGAAAAACTTCTGCCCCAGCCTAGTTAAAGTGTTTCCTAGGATATCCACCTTCTGCAGTTCAGCTCAGCTCCCCAAGGCCACAAGGGCAAGTGAGCTCCACCCCCAACCCAGGGCCATGGAGGGTGGGAGGCCAGTAGGAAGTGCCCCCACTTACAAAGCGGACTTGGAGGATCCCACCCTGCAGCAGATGCTTGTATACAGTACCTGCTCACCTTGTGCTGTAGGCCCTAGCACCTAACCCGTTTGTAAAGAGGCACTGACAAATGACAGTCTTGCCCCGTGTCAACACAGCAGGGCAGGCTGAGCTGGAATTTGAAGATGCTGTGGGATCCAGATCTCAGGTTACTTTAGGCAGCCGAAGCATGACAGTAACAGGGCCTTCTCCTCAGAAAAAAGGCAGAGGCACAGAACCTTGTGCCTGAAGTTGGGGGCTCCTGGACCTCTTATTTAAAAGCACTGCTGATGTCTAAGTAGGAGTTGGGCAAAGGGAGAGGAGTTTTAGGAAGGCAGGTAGCTGGCACCACTGGGATGGAGAGGCAGCGTGAGGCTGGCAGCTGCAGCCATTGAGGTTACGGGGATTCCATGTGCCACCCTGAGACAAAGCCAATGGGGTCAGCGCTTTGTGTGGCTTAAGAGGTGGGAAAGTCTGGGCTGGAGAGGGTTATGCAGCTGGTAGCTGGCCAAAAATAGAAGGTATCCTGCAGGGCTGGGGATGTGGCTCAAGCAGTAACACACTCTCCTGGCATGCGCGGGGCGCTGGGTTCGATCCTCAGCACCACATACAAATAAAATAAAGATGTTGTGTCCACTGAAAACTGAAAAATAAATATTAAAAAATTCTCTCTAAAAAAGGAAGTATTCTGGGCAGCGGAGTGTCCAGCAAGGTGCCTATAGTGGGGCATGGAGAAGTCAAGAACCTGAGTAAAATGACCAGGGTACAAGATGGAAACAGCCAAGGTCTCCTACAATTCCTGGCAGGGGAGAACACCTGAAGTTAATGGCTGTGTTGGGATGGAGGCTCTGGCATGGCTTTAGCACAGGCAGATGAGTGACAGTCTAGGGACGGCTGAGCCGCTGCTTTACCAAGAAGGCATCAGAAAAGTAATAGCATGAGGGGGCAGAATGGCTATGGGGCAGCTTTAGACTCCAGACTGGCCTTCCTGACCACCTAGAATGTCTCCACTCTCTGGGAACCATCACAGCCCCCAGAAAACAGTGCTGCAGGGGCAGGGGGAGGAGCTGGCCAGGCACACATTAGTGCTTGGCTAACTTGCCAGTGTCATTCTTCCTGTGACAGCCTCAGAGTGACTCTCAGGGAGAAAATGAAGACCTGGGCCTGTAAGCAGCAAGAGCTCCCACCTGAGAGCAGTGCCTAAGAGTCATTAGGTCCAGGTATTGTCTGGGTACACTTCACCGCTGCACAGGCCTTGCAGCTGTGGGCCTTCTTGCTCTCACATCACTGTCCTCAGGACCAGTCTGAGGCCATCACCTCAGCTGTAATGAGGTCAATCACCCTGGCTCCTCCTCTCCCAAGGGTGGCTAAAGAATGTGGCAGGGTCTCGAACCACCTGGCTTAGAAGGGCTAACCCTGAATACAAGGTATGGCCACAGGCATCCGTGGGGGCTCATGGCTCTGGCTAAGGGCTGCACCACATCTGCCACCCACTGTACTCAGTGACACCCACAGGAAGGGCAAGATGCGGAGGAGGCACCAAGGGGTGGCCAAAGCTGTACGGAAAGGGCTGGGCCTGCCTGGCCCATCTCAAGGGCTGAACAGGACATGTCCCCAGCATTGCCTCCTACACTGGGCCCTCCATGTGCCCTGCATGGCTGCCTCCCCTGCACCCCCAGCCTTCCAGACTTCACCCCATGCTCCACACATCTTTAGCAGTGCCATCCCTGTGTCCTCTGGCTCCTCTGCCCAACCTGAGGCAGCTTCCCATGGGACAATGAGCCAGGCAGGGCTCATCTCAACCTACCAGCTCAGGCCCAAGATCAGAGGGCTGCTCGTGGCTTTGAGTGGGGTCTCTGTGAGGCAGCAGGGTGACTGGGCACAGCTCTCAAGATGGGACAGGAAGATGGATAGGACCTTGACCTTTGGGTGACCCGGGACTGAGACTGTCCCATTCTGGACCATGTCTTAGAAAAAGTAGGGGGAGGGACTGGGGTTGTGGCTCAGCAGTAGAGCGCTTGCCTCGCGTGCATGAGACCCTCAGCACCACATAAAAATAAATAAATAAAGGTGAAGATATTAAAAAAAAAAAAACTCTTCTTAAAAAAAAAAAAAAAAGTAGGGGGAGCCTCAAACTGTTCTCCAAGAGTTCAGAGGACAAAAAGACCAACGGAAATTACAGTTGCTGTAACATGTGACATGAGTAGGTTGTCTATGGGGTGCAAAAAAGACAGCTGGGAGCTACTTGTGTTTACCCAAGGGGGAACCCGAGGAGGACAGGCTCCCCTGGCCCCCAGCAGGAAACGTGCCAAGCCCCATGCGAAGCTCCAAGGCAAATCCTAGGAGCACATGGAGGCCTGTGTGATCACCACCCACCTCACCCCTGCAGTATCCTGTTCTGATCACCATAAAGCCTCATCATGTCTGTCATCTCAGACCACAATACCACACTTCTCAAGGGTTGTACTGAGCCATGACAAGGGAGGTAACTTTCCAGGTGCACAGAACCCTGAGAAGGAGCCCTATATCATTCAACACCCACAGGCCCCACCAATCCCCACCATGCCAAACAGATCTCAAGATCCTCTGGCCTAGCTTGGAGCACCCAGGTGGAGGCACAGAGCGTACTGGCTAACCCTAGGCCTGGGTTCAATGCCCAGCCCTGTCTTTTTTTCCTAATTCTGGAGTCTCACATTGATCATTTCACCTCTGCTATCTGGTGGTGGCACTGTGGAGCATGATTAAATTGAGGCCTCTGCTTCCCTTGGATCAAACAGGCTTCCAACATTCTAGAAAACAGAACTTGGGATGCTCCTGGTCAGAGAGCATCCACCAGCAGAGACGCTGCTGCCTACCAGGTGCCTGCCGGCCATACCTTGACATAGTAGGTGATGAGAATCTTGCGGAGGTCAAAGACCTGCAGCATGGAGGCGGCGTTGTTGTCGCTAATGCTGTAGCCCTCCAGCACGTACTTACTGGCCGTCACCTCCCAGGCCAGCCAGCGCTGCCCAAAGGCAGCATTGAAGGACAGGACCCGTGGCAAATGGCCAGGCTCACAGCAGCAGCAGCCCTCATCCTCCTCTACACCTTCGGTGATGGCCTCCACCTCACGCTGCTGGCAGTACGTGCCTGTGGGGGAAGAGTGTCCAGTCAGGGACACTAGGACAATCCTTGCCTGCCTCCCCCAGCAAGAGGCCAATGTAGCACTCGAGGGCTGCTGCCACTCACCCTCCACCAGGCATAGTGTGTGGAAAGGTTACTGAGTGAATGGCAAGTGAACCCCTTCTTTCTCTTAATTCCCAGCAGCCATGGTGAGGGAGAGTGGAAGAGGCAGGGGTCTGCTCCCTCATTTATAGGGGTAAAGACGGAACCTCAAAGAGGAGAAGGGACTTGCTCAAGGTCATAGTGCCCATGAGCTATACACTCTTGGGCTTCCTGAGAAGCTGCATCCTGTATGTCTTCCTGCAAGGTAGAGGCAGGAAGACACTAGCCCTGCTCTCTAGGGGCTGTGCGTGGTGCCTGAATGAGGCCTAGCCTGAGACCACAGAGCAGGCCAGGTGAAGTTAGCACAAGAACCCAGAACTCTAGCCCCCAACTTTGACTGTAGCCATCTCTGGCGTCAGTACAGACCCAAAGTCAAGGCACACAGAGGGCTTGGCTGGAAAACCTGTCACCTCACAGCTTAGACTGGGAAACCTTGACCCAGGGAGCAAGAGCTCCTTGCCTGAGGTCACCCAAGCCAAACTGGACATGAATGCAGTCCCTGCACACAGTGCACTGCTCAGGACCCAAGCATGCCTGCACCCCCATTCCCAGGCTCAGCCCTGAGGCTCACCCCGGAACTCAAGGCCACGCAGCTGGAAGGTGACAAAGCCATTGCCAACCTCGATGAGGTGCACTAGTGCATTGAGGTAGTCGGAAGCCAGGACGAAGCAGTCACCAGGGCCATAGTTGCCCCAGCGGCCCAGCACCAGGTCCCCACACAGCGTGTGCTGCAGTGAGCGCGTCAAGTGCTCATAGAAGATGGAATTGAGGTTGTTGTCATCAGCGCCTGGGACCAGGGCAGATAGACAAATGACCAAAGTGACATGTGAGAAAGGCTCCCTTTAGGGGAAGCCCTGCCCGGAGCCTCTGGACAGCTGGATACACACCAGGGTTCCGGTCCAGCTGCGTCACCAGGCGGGTGTTGGAATGATCCACACGCTTAGTGCTGTTCAAGAGAGCGACGGCATCAGAAAAGGCGCAGCCACAGACAATGGTGACGATTTCCACCTGTCGAGACCTCCTACCCAGGCTCTACCCAGGTCCTCTCCAAGTCCACACCCCTGTGCTATGAACAGAAACTACCTATGATAGCCCTAGTAACACTGTCACAGATAAGGAGGACAGGCTCAGGGACATGAAAGGACTCACCCAGACCACACAGCCAGGACTTGGGGAAACTGGCATCTCATCCAGGCCCACCTGTCTCCCTGAGGCTTTGTCTAGGTGCAGGGTTTGCTCTCATGGGATCTGCTTCCACAGTGTCCCCGCTATGCCCAAGCATTCACACACTTGCTGCTGGGCACTGTCCAGTCTGGGCTTCAAACCCCCTCCCCCTCCCCGGCCAGGCACTTGCTCCTTTTCCCATAACACTCACTTGTAGTCACGCTCCCAAAACTTGAGAGGCCTTGCATAAGACATGATGAACACCGCACTGCCCAGTAGAGGATTGAGGGGTGTGGAGAAGAGCCCTGAGAGCAGGGCCTGGACAAACAGCATGGCCGAGTCTGGGCGTAAGTCAAGGAGACAGCAGACACACAGGATCTCCCAGACTCCCTCCCCATTCCCTGCAGCCCCAGGCCACAGCCCTCCCTGCCCACCCCACCCAGAAAGCAGGCAGCAGATACGTGGCACTGCGAAGGGCTGGGCAAAGGCGTGGAAGGCCGAGCCCCAGGTGATTTGCCAGGGAGCGATGTAGGTCAGCACAAAACGCAGCTTGTACAGCAGGTCCCACAGCTGCAGGGTGGGCAAGAGACACAAAAGACGTGTAGTATCACTCATGAAGGTGGGGTCTGCCAAGCCCCCAGACACATGGCCTCCTTCAGAACCCTGGGGTCCCACTGGGTGCCTATGTGGGGTCCAGCTCAGTATCATTCCCAGCACCTTCTCTATGGTTCTGGCTTAGGCACTTGATATCATGACCAACTCCTGACTGTGCTCTAAGGGCACATTAACCATTTAATTCACGTGATGACCCTGGAAGCTGTTTCCATTTTATAGATGGCTTAAGGTGAGATTCAGAGAAGGAAGAGAAAATAAATGACTTGCTCAGGCCATGCAATTTGGTCAGTAGTAATGCTGTGGACAGTGGGACTGAATATTAATAGTCCCAGGTCATGGCCTCAGAGGAGCCAAGTTGGGAGGCCCACCACCCTGGGCCTGGCCAGAAACAAAAAGTGAGCACCCCTGTGAGTGAGAAAGGCTCAGGCCTGTAGGAATCCCAGCCACCATAACAGGCATCATGCACACAGTAGGGAATGGTCCTTTGTTCAAAGTGACCCGTCTCAAACCCTGAGTGCGAAATCCCATGGTCTAGCAAAATATCTACATGCACAGGCCCCAGGGCTTCTGAAACAATTCTGAACTGTTCTCTAGGGCCAAGGCTGGCAGAGAGGAAGAGCTCAGAGTCTGGCTCTTTTCCAGAGGTCAAGGTCGGGTCCTAACTATGCTGTTTCTGAGAAAGGTGGTTATAGGGTTGGACAGACATGGGGTCAAATCCTGGTTGACTGTCAATTCCCTGGAGGGCCTAAGGCAAGTCATTCCACCTCTTTAAGCCTCAGCTTCCTCTCTGCAAGGAGAGACAGAGATAACCTCTTCCCTGAACAGCCAACAGCAGGATTGTCCGAGAGGCAGGTGACAGGCCCCAGGGACATTCTTCCCCCCACCCCCCAGGCTGAAGAATTCTAAGCCACAGCCCCCACTCCCCGCTCACTTTGCTGCAGAGCAGGGACATGAGGAAGTAGTCCAGCAGAAAGCCCTGGGAGAGGCGTGGGTAGTCAAAGTGGAAGAGCAGGACTGTGAAGGCCAAGGTCAGGTACTGCTGAGGTGGGCAGCAAAAGGCCGAGCGTAACAACTTCAGACCAGCCACAGTCATCAGCAGTGCCCGGCAGCTGTGGGTGAGTTCAGCAGGGCTTAGGAGGCAGTGGGTGCACATGCCCCATCTCTCACCTACCCTGGCCAGAGTGCAACCCTATTCCTCAGCTCTCTCTATTCAGGTAGCATCTGTTCTCTTGAACCAGTGACTCTCAGGCTCATCCCTCCAGTGCAGGTAAAGTGCATCAGGAATTGGGGCCCCACTTTGGCTTTCTGGGCAATCTTGGTCACCACCCATTACCCATTCCCTCTCTGGGCCTTAGTTTCCCCAATGGGAATCAAATGGGAAGATAGGTAGCACGGTAGTCCTCACTAGAGGCAGAATTTGTCCGGGTGGCTGACAACAGTGTGGGCATCCACTGTGAGAGCATTGAGCACCACGGCAGGGTAGATGAGATACTTCTCGACACACTGCAGGCCAGCATACAGTTTCTCAAACCACATCACTTGGGCAGCGCCTGCAACATGGAGGTAGAACTGTTGCCCAGCACCTGGTCCCCCACATATGCCCCTCTTCCCTGGGATCCAGAAGACTAACCACAGCAGGACCAGAGAAAACCAAGGAGGGCGGACAAACCAGGAGCTGTGTATCCTGGGTCCCCAGAAATTTCAGCATGGTGAGGAGGAACTGATCTTTGGCAGTTGAAATAAAGTAACGGGCCCTAGCAGAGCCAGAGCTCTGCATACCACTGGGCTCACCACAGGCTTAGGGCTGGTGATTTGTCCTGTTTACTATCTACAGAAACAAGGCTGATGAAGGCTACTCACTGGGGATGGCAAAGGTGATGTACAGCAGGCTGGGAGGACAAGCACATGGTGACCCCAAGCCACAGACCCTTCTGAGGGTCAAGGCTCCCTGACTCAAGCTGGTAAAAACTACAGAGGGATACTGGCCCAGTGGCCCAAAACCTCCCATTGTTTAGAAAAACGAGAAATGTGACCTTCCTTATCACAATTCAAGATGATTAAACACAGGTTGGAGAATATTTTAAGTTGCTGCACAGCCCAGCAACAATGCACACCGGATGGCTCTAGTCCAGCAGAGACCAGTTTGCATTCTGGACAAGAGATCCCTTCAGGGCCCTGGAATTCTACTTTTTCCATCTCCTCAGAGACAAGGAAGGCAGAAAAGGGGAGGCACACGTGGGCTGAGAGCATAACAGGGCCATGCCAGGTCATGGTGAGAAGAGTGGGCACAAGAGAGCAGGGATGGGTGGCAGGGTCAGGGTGGAGAGGGCAGCGATGGCGAAGACTGCCCCCTACTGTCACCCTGAGCCAAGAAGACCAAGACTCCCACCAGGCCACTCAGTGCTTGGGCCTGAAGGGTGGTGCATCAGGCATTGGAGGGGAGGTTCGGAGGGGAGGTACGGTAGGAGGGTGCACTCACCGCGCACTTCATACTGGCTGTATTCCAATGGCTTCAGCACGGGCTGTGAGAGGCAGAACCAGGGCAGCTGCTTGCGCAGCTGTGGCAGCAGGTAGTGTGTGAAGAATCCCACTGCCCCGGCCAGCGCGTACAATACAAAACCCAGCACCGACTGCAGAGAGAGAGACCAGATGCTTACTCAGGGGCTCAGCCCACCAGACCAGGCAGGGGCCTCTCAGGGCCTCAGGTCCAACACTCTCCTGCCAAGACCCAAGAAGGGCTAACTGCACCACACGAACCTTTAGGGCAATGAAGACGGTGCTGGCGCTGATGGCGAAGGTGAGCACAGCAATCACCACACACATCACCAGGTCGGAGTGCAGGACCTCACGCTGAGAGGTGGAAAACACAGCTCACTGCCCAATGCCAAGGCCTGCACACCGAGCCCTGGCCCTGCCACCATTTCCCTACCAGAGACCCACACTCCCGCCCCCTCACCACAGACTGGCGCATTTTTTCTGGTAGCGGGTCTGGGGGCTCAGCTCGGGCCGTCTCCAGGCTCCGCTCCTCTAGCTCAGGGAAGAGCTTGCTCCGTACCAGGGACCTGGGGGGAAAAACAGTCAGGGGGTGGGGCTGCTGCTCTTCCTAGCACAGGCCTCCAGGGCCACAGGAGACCAGGATCCATGTGGGTCACAGGCACATGCACGATGCCCAGGCCCACAGACACAAACGCACATCCATGGAGCACGCACACATGTGTGCATGGACAGGCACATGCAGCACCCACCAGAGCACAGTGGGGTCGCTGCTCTGCCGGCTCAGATGGTAGGACAGCGCCACCAGGAGGCCACAGAAGACTGAGAAGAGGACAGGGACGTGCTGCTCTGGCCAAGGAGTCTGGGGAGAGAAGCATGCTGGTCAAGAGAGGTGAGGGTAAGCATGGGGGCGGGGGTATCCCCACATGAGAAGCCGCTGCTGAGCCCAATTCATGGCCCTGTCCCAACAATCCCACAGACTTCAGCATGCCCCCCATCCTGCAGGCCACCTTACCTTGATGGCCCCGAGGCAGAAGCCGTAGAGAAGGGCAGCAGCCAGAAGGCTACGAGCAAGACTGAAGACTGCAGTGAGCGGGCTGGTGGCAGCTGCATGGCACGGAGGAGTAGGCAAGACCCAGCTCTTACATGTGGGCATGCCCACCTCACCCCTGCCCACCATCCAACTCCCAGAAGCCCAACTCCAAGGACATCACCCCTAGCCAACTGCTCTCTGCTTGCCCAGCCCTGGGGGGCTTTGGAACTTTTGGCACTCTCAGGTTGATACCACGTGCTAGAGGAAGGCAGGGGCCTGTATCTTGTCAGGGGTCTAGATGAAGAAGGTGGATCAGCAAGGGCTGGAGCCACAGACCCAATTCATAGGTCCTCTAGGGCCTGATACTACCCCACCCCCAAGCCACCTGCGGACATCATACCTGTGCCCCCAAAGCCATGCATATCTATCTGCTCCAGCAGGTACATGAGGCAGGTGTTGACCTGGGGTAGGAGGCCCAGGAGGAAGACGAAAGGGAAGCATAAGGTGAACACTGGCGGGGAGAGAAAATGAGGGCTGGTCAGTCTGTTGCCCACCCTCCTGGGCTTACTCTCCCAGACCACCTCTACCCTGCCAGGCCTCACCAGTGGCCACATCTCGGGCACAGAAGAAGAAAGAGGCAGAGAAGAGTGTGAGGCCATAGAGGGAGACGGGCGGGAAGGGCTGTGCTGAGCCCAGGGCATCCAGCAGCCAGATGAGCAGGCAGCAGATGCAGAAGTAGACGGGCCGGCTGTATGCGATCACCCAGTTGTGGCCCTGAGGAGTCAGCCTATGAGGAGCTGGCCTTCCTTGCTGACGACCCCAGAGGCATGTGGACATGCCCACATGCTCCTGGGCTGGCCCTGGGTCCAAGCTAGAGAGCCAGGCAGGGGGGAGGCAATGGGGCTAGTGAGGGAGCCCCGCCTCTTTCCTGCTATGACCTCCTCCCACCTGGCTTCAGCCCCTCCCAGGGCCTCCTGGTGAGAGGTGCTGCTCAAGGGTACTCACGTGCATGGGAGATGCCGCATCAGGCTGCACACTCTGAAAGAGATAGGGCTATGTTGACAACAAGAGCCAGTGCCCACAGGAGCATGAGACACTGGAATCAGAGCAGGACCCTCAAGTGCCTTGAGCTTAGTGTTCTCAACTATCAGATGGGTGGCTGCCTACAAAGGACCTTAAGCATCTTGTCTGCTTCCTAGCTCAGAGCCCTCAGACCTACAGTAGGGGGAAGGGGAAGGTCTGAGGAAAATTGGGGTAAGAGACACATGAAGCCAGGCCTGACCTTGAGCAAGGAGTACTGACAGGAGGCGATGACCAGGCAGAACTGGAAGACCCAGATGTCAGTGAAGAAGCCCTTGAGCAGCAACAGGTAGCCCAGGAAAGCAACCAGGCTGCTCAGCCCAACGCCGAAGATGTTCTCGACCACCCCCCGCGTCCTGCAGAAACAGGTGAGTCAAGGCATAGCCCTTCTGCCTCAGCACAGGGGTTCAGTCCTAAAGGACCATCTCCAGGTCTCTGGCTGTGCCAGCTTCTTGACCTCTGAAGATTCAAAACTACGATCTCACAGGGGGAGCCCAGGATGCATCTACTCTAGGAAGCCATCCTGTTGCTGCCCTCCATCCCAGTCTTTGACCTTCTAGATGCTAAAGGCTTCAGGTGCCAACACTCTTAAGACTTCCCTATGTCTAGCTCATGGTAGGCTAAGCGAGGCACACCACGTCAGGCACCCCATTATAAACACAAGCAGTACCCCACAAGCACTCAGTCATGGTGCCAGGTCAAAGCCCAATGGACAGGAAACCAGGAAGTGGGTTCCAGGCCCAAGTCCTCTATAGCAGGCAATAAAGATCACCTGACTGCTCTATCTGATTTTCTGGGCCTGTTTCCCCTCTGAAAATTGGGAAAGGTGAGACAAATGATTGTGAACTTTTTAGTTAACGACATTCCATTTTTATATCAAGTCAAAGACAGAGGCAAAAGAAAACAACAGACTTCCAGGCATGGTGGCACATGCCTGTAATCACAGGTACTCAGGAGGCTAAGGCAGGAGGATCACAAGTTCAAGGCCAGCCTCAGAAACTTGGCAAGACCCTGTCTCAAAATGAAAAATAAAAAGGGATGTAGTTCAGTGGTAGAGTGCCCCTGGTACTGTAAAAACAACAGAATCAGACCAGTCAGATATGGTGGCATGTACCTATAATCCCAGTGACTCGGGAGGCTGAGGCAGGAGGATAGCAAGTTCAAGGGTGGCCTCAGCAATTTAGCAAGACCCTGAGCAACTTAGGGAGACCCTATCTCAAAATAAAAAATAAAAACATCTAGGGATGTGGTTCAATGGTAGAGTACCCCTGGGTTAAACATCCAGTGCCAAAAAATAAAATAAATCAGACTGAATTGTTTGTCTTAAGCAGGGCTTTAAGAAAGATGGGTTGATGGGCTGGGGATGTGGCTCAAGCGGTAGCACGCTCGCCTGGCATGCGTGCGGCCCGGGGTTCGATCCTCAGCACCACATACAAACAAAAGATGTTGTGTCCGCCAATAACTAAGAAATAAATATTAAAAAAAAAAAAAAATTCTCTAAAAAAAAGAAAGATGGGTTGGGCTAGGGTTGTGGCTCAGAGGTGGGTGCTTGCCTAGCACACGTGAAACACTGGGTTGGCTCCTCAGCACCACATAAAGTAAATAAGTAAATAAAGGTAAATATCATCTACAACCAAAAAAAAATTAAAAAAAAAAAAGATGGGATTACTACAGTGGCTGCTTCACCTCGACTCCCTACCACTTGACCACCCCTCGTACCCAAGGACCCTAAAGAAATGCCACTGCCATCAAAGGCACATTATGTTCTCTGAAGCCATGACTGTCCCCACTGGTTCACAGTCTCAAAGTCCAGGGTCCTGGGACCCCTAGGACTTTCTGGGGACTACGGGCCAAAGCAGATAGGCACTCACCGGTCCAGGAGAGCCAGCAGGGCAAGCCGCTCATAGCGCACAGAGGTCCAGCGGCCAGGAAAGAGCCAGTACTTGTAGCTATGCTGGGCACGGGGTGGCGCCTCCTCCATCAGTGTCTGCTCCTGGGATTCGTGCAGGGAGTCCTGGTCCAGCAGGTCAAACTGCAGTCCCCACAGCCGCGACCATCAGCCCCGCCACCCCTGCCATGGTTTGTAGCACCACTCCCACCCTAGCACACTAGCTTGGTTGACCACGTCCATCAGCACAGTATGACCCCACCATCTAGCGGCCCCATGTTCTGCCTGGATCCTCCATTACAAGGGCCTATTCCTTGCTCCAAGTTCCTAGGACAATGGCTGCTAGGAGCTCAATGGCTACAGGGACCTACCAGGCACCAGAGTTACAGAATCCCACGTCTATCTTCCCCACTCAGGCAGAATCTCCTGTTTCATCCAGTCCCAATGTAATTTGCCTTGTCCTTCAGGACCTCGTACAAATACCATGTCTTCCCAGATGGAGCCATCACTGTCCCTGGGACACCCCACCCACACAAGTACCCAGTCCTGAGGATGGACTGGATGCCATGTAGCTGCTGTGAGGCCCTGGGCGAGTTACTTCACCTCTTTGGGCTTGTTGTGCCCTTCACTGAAGCACTCAGGGGACACAGCTAAAGGCCTGGCCCTGTGCTGGCCTCTGAGGATACCATGGAGAGAGGCAGAGATATACAACCACTGTGGAGGCGGCCATCAGTTAGACAGCAAGGACAATGCTTCCAATTCTACACAATAGTTAAAAATAATAAATGATTCAGGAAAACAATGCTTGGTGGCTCCTACCACTGCTTGGGATCTACTTGTGGCTCTGGCTGTAAAATGTGTACATATGCATTTTTAGGATTATTTTCTCAACTCTGAGGTTGTGCTTTTTTGTGTTTCTCACAGACAGGGTCTCACTACGTTGCCTGGGTTGGCCTCAAACTCCTGGGCTCAAATGATCCTCCTGCCTCAGCCTCCCAAGTAGCTGGGAGTACAGGTGAAAAAATTATGGTTCGTGCATTCTTAATGTTTCTCATATCACTGCACTGACTGCATTAATTATTGTCCAAATTGGAATAGTTTTACAAGTAAAAAAGCATGCTATCGACAAATATACTAAAAGGAGAATCATTAGAAGAGAATATTCCAGACAATCACACAGAGTCAGGCACAAGGAAGAGTATGGTCACTGTTCGGCAAATTTGAGCTGTCACTTTTGCAAGTATCGCTGTGAACACCCATTGTACCTGTTAATCGTGGACCCCTCAGGATTAGGAAGGTACTCCAGACACAGTCACAGAATAAGCAAATGAACAACTTCCTGAGCCATTCAGCTTCAGTCTTGTACATCCTCAGCTAACCATCAAAGATCAGGATAGACATAGTGGAGTTTCTGAACTCTTCCTCAGGAAGCCTGTCCCTCCTGGCACCTGGGCAAGCTCTCAACTAAGGCCAGCCTCAGTGATCTGCTCACCCCTACAGACTCCTTGCACAGCCCTTCCCTAGATGCTCACCTCTGGGATCTCCAGCGGCACCCGGCGCACCTGCATACCCTGAAGAACCACAGGCCTCGGCTGCAGCAAGTTCAAGCCTCCTGTTGCCTCAGGAACATCAGCTGAGTGGAAGCTGGAGGAATGTGAGTGGCGGTCCCTGTGGGTACAGCAGCCATGAGAATCCTAGCCATAAGCAAGACCTAGGGTGGCATAGAATTGAGGCCAAGGCCAGGTAGGTGGGGCTGACTATTCCATGACTGGAAACCCAAGGGACAGAGGAGTACCAGGCTCAGGATGAGGCAGGTGACAGAAGTGCCCCCGTCCTAGATCCTAGCTAACACACATTGTCAAAATTGCACTCTCTTCCCCTCCTCCCTGGGCCCTGAGTGTCCTGGAAGCTTCCTGTTTGGGGTGCCCAGGAGCCAAGGCTCCCAGGGATCCCCACAAGTCTGTCCTTCACTGTTCCCCATACTTCTCTCTTCCTAGGGAGCTGCCATGGCTCCTACCCCACCCCTGCAAAGAAAGAAAAAACTCCAGGTTTAGAGTGCTTCTCTGAAACGTAGTGTACCACATCACTGGCCTTAGAAGGCCCAGCCTGGAGACTCACCATGCTCCATTGGCCGCCTGCTCCCCCTGCTGCCCCACTGGATTCTCATAGCCACCTCCAGCCAGGCCGAAGGTATAGGAACGTCGCACACCTGAGACAGGAGAGTGGGAGATGAGGCAGCAAGTCAGGAACAGGAGTGCCAAGGCCTGACACACAAGGGCACCAAGGCCATCAAATCAGAAAGAACACCGTGACGTGCTCCTTGGCATGGCAGCCCAGTCCCCAGGGATAAAAACCTAAATAAGAAAGGGGCTGCAAGTCAAAAGCCTGGGTCTGTGGTCAGCCCAGCCTGGGTTTGGATCTCTGTTCTACCATTTGCTCAGCTATAGCCTCTGGTGGGTCTTGGTTTCCCATCAGCAAAGCAAGGAAGACAAGGGGACTCATACCCCAGAGAGGCTGTAAGGACGGTAGAGGGAACACAGGCAAAGCACCTGCCATGGGGCTGAACACAGACTTAAGTGACAGCGCTGTTGCCAACAGAATGAAGACTGCCCCAGGAGAGCAAAACAGGTGCCGGGCAGGCTGAGGAGGGGCTCACCACTCTCGTCGTAGAAATAGTGCACGGCACCCTCAGAGGTGTCGTCAAAAGTACAGGCCTCGTGCACGTTGGTGCCAGCCCGGGTCAGCAGTAGTGAAGAGGCGAAGTGCAGGGCGGAGGGCAGCGTCAGCGCCCGGGAGTGGGAGGCAGCCCGGCCCCGCTGAGCCTCCTGCAGGCTGCTGTGGAAAAGGCAGCCCTGGGTCAGCACCACAGAGCCAGCTGGGCCCCTGGGCCCCTGGGCCAGGTGGCAGATGCTAACCTGGGTGGCGAGCCCATGACAGAGGCCGGTGGGGTGGGGTTGCTGCCTGCGTTGTGGCGCCTCCGGATTGCTTGGGTCCGCCTCACACTGCTTGAGCGGTCCCGCTTGCCTGTCTCCTCAGTCGCTGTCCAGAGAGAGGCCCCGAGCATAAGTGACAGAGGCTTGAACAGAGCTGGGGGAGTGACGTGGGGGCAGATGCTCTAGTATGGTGCTAAAGATCAGACCTAGTCCAACAACGCACTGGCTCTGGAGCCCAGCCAGGTCACCTAGCCATTCATGCCTCGGTTTCCTCATTTAGAAATAAGGACGACACTGATCTGCCCTGCCCCACTGGTGGCCAGGATGATGAGCGTGGATGATGAGTCTCCTCCGGAAGCAGAGGCTCAGGTGCTAACCACAGGACTTGGAGCAGGTGGCTGGACCCTGCTGACCCAAGAGGTTTGGCACATAACATCATTCAATCACTGGTCCACATCCATCTGCTGCCTGAGAGGGAGGCAGAGCTGACGCTAACCAGGTCCACTCCAGCCTGCCCCTTGCCCAAACCAACCCCCTAGCTCCCCTCCTGCCCCCTGCACCCATAGCCTACACTCACCTCCACCAACAGCACCTTCCTCAGGCAGCTCCCCCCGCCAGCCTGGCTGGTTGGCAGCAGGCCCACTGCGGGCCTCAGCAGTCAGCACAGCAGGATCCCCAGCAGCGAGCTCCACTCCCACCTGGGCCTCCAGCTCAGCCTTGCAGCCGGCCAGGGGAGCCCTTAAGACATCACCCCCTGCCCCATCCATGCTTAGCACACGAGCATGTGTTTTAGCACTGGCTGTACTGGGCGTCCGCTGGGTCCCATAGGGCCTTTTGGGGGGCACAGCAGTCCCCTCCTCAGCTCCATGAGGGGCCCGCCGCTTCCGAGGCCCCCCTGCTGCACCCTGGGAGCTCTCAGGGGAGTAGCAAGAAGTAGATGAGGAGCTATCAGTACTGTAGCGCCGCTGTGATCGGAGACTGGAGGCCGGGCTCAGTTCGCTGCCCTCACTGGTGTCTTCATCCTCGAAGAAGCCCCCGCCCTCAAGCAGGGACCGTCGAGGAGCACGGCCAGGTGGAGAGTGTCTTCGCATGGGTGGCCGCCGTTTGCTAGGCCGTAGTAGGGCCAAGTCCTTAGGCCGTACAACCAGGAGTGGCTCGACTGGGCCTGGTGGTGTCCCTGCTCCAATGACTGTGTCAAAGGAACGCAGTGTATCATCTGAGGGGACGCCAGCATCAGGTGAGGCAGGCAGCTCAGCCTCAGAGGGAGGATCTGTGTCACTGCCCTCAGGGGCTTGTCCACCAGGGGGGCTGTCCAGGTGCGTTGAGTTGGTCTTCTCGCTCTTGAAGCTGCTCAACGTTTCCCTGTCAGTGCCACTGAAGCAGGAGTCTGATGAGCCAGCTTTCTGGGGTGTGGGCTCACCTGAGCCCCGCCGATCCAGGGGCTGGTAGCCGCTGGCTCCTCGGTGTTGTTCCCTTCGACTGCTGGTCCTCACCAGAGCCCGGTCAGGCCGGGTCAGGGTCAGAAAGCTCTTGCTTAGCTCCTGGCTAAGGCTCCCCTTCAGTAAGGGGCTCATGGGAGTGTCAACCATGCTGCTCCCACCCCAAGGAGCTCCATCTCCAGCCAGGGGAGAACGTTCTGAAGAGTCTGTGCTGGGGAGAGAGGGGTCTGGGACAGCTCCTGGGGGTGTCTGGGGAAGGTCTCCAACTGTCAGAAGAAAAAAATTTAAAAAAAAAACAAGAGCAGGATATACTGTATAATAGAAGAAAAACTGATGGCCAAGGGGGCTTAATGAACTCTGCTTTCCCTGAGGGCCAATCTAGGAAGGAATGCTGAGGATGCCCCATCTGACAGTACAAAGAGAATTCTACATTGGAGCAAAAGTTAGCTAACAACTGTCTTTCCTTGCAAGTAATGCCTTATAGTGCCCACTCACTTAATTTTTCCTGTGAACTGAGCTTCAGCATCTCTCGATCGGCAGAGGTCACGATCACATTGTTGCTGCCCTGCTCCCGCACCAGCTCCTTGATATCTGAAACCCATAGCACCAGAGGCATCAGCAGGATCCTGGAGCAGCCACAGGAGACCGTCCCATTCCATGCTACCATGTCCCAACCCTGTGCAATAGTCACTTACCCCTGAGGGGTCCAGAGTCTTCCATCCGGGGCAATAATTCCTGAGCAGAGAAGAGGCACAAAGGAACCAACAACTCAGGACCTGCCCACAACAGGAACTGGCTCCCAAAAGAGCAGTGGAAAAGCCAAGGTCTGGGGCCACTCACCGAGACCTGGTTGAAGCCAAACACGGAATGCTGAGAACTGCAGCGCACTGGGGGTGTGGAACTCACTTTCCGAAACACAGTCATCTCCACACCTGGGTCCCTGCAGATAGAAAGAGAAACAGACTGGAGCTAAACTCCAGAATGACTTCAGGACAAGTGCTACGTAGCATTCACTCAGGGAGCCAATGTTCAGCCCCTCCTCCACCCCCAGAGGTTCAGGCCTAGGCAGCAAGAACCCTTAATCCCATCACAATCCCTGTCCCACCCACCTGGGCAGACTGCTGTCCCCCTGGGCAGGCTCTTCTTCCTGCTCCCCCATGGTCGAGTTGCGCTTCTCCACAATCTCTCCCTGGTCGAACATGGCATGCAGTCGATAGTTCACAGTCTTGATGGTAGTGAAGATGATAGCAACCACGAGGCAGTACACGCCAGCCACCATCAAGCTGGGGGGCAGGACCTGGAGGTGGCAGCAAGTCAGGTCCCTTCTCACATAGCCCTGCCCCTTTGGGATGTACCTGCCATCACTGCCATGGTTAGGATTCATAAATTCAGGAGAAGCCTCATCACCCCTTCATGCAGGCAGTACTAAAAACTAGAGAGATCAAATGAGAAGCTCAAGGTCACCCGACCCAGGAAAAGAAGGATTTAGCCTCTCCTCGCAGACACCCAAACTGCAGGGCCCAACATCCTAAGTACGTCCAGAGTCCCTGCCAGGCTGCTTCCATGACATCCTGCCCTCCCTGTCCCGGCATGAGTTAACAGGTGGCAGGAACATCTCACCATGTACAGCAAGAAGGGAAAGGTGAGCAGGAAGATCCAGACATAGAGGTGAAAGCAGTTGGAGAAGGTGCTCTGATGCGGGTCGAAGAACCAACCGCCGGTGAGCGAGGCCCACACCCCCTGGCGCAGGATCTGCAACACCTGAGACCCCATGGCCCTGCCGCTGCTGCGCGCGCCCCCCTGCCGGGACCCTCATGGGGGCGGCCCCCGGTCCATGCCCCGCCTGGCGCCCGAAGGCCCCGGGGCTCGGTCTCGCCCTCACGCCATGGCCTCCCCCAGAGGGGGAGGGGATCGGCGAGGCGAGGGTGCGGGCAGGGGGCGGGGCCGGCCGGAGCAGTCAGCGGTGTGCGGCCCGGGCACGGGGGTGGGGCTGCATCAGGGGCGGGGTCTGGGCCCCCACCCCTGGCCCAGAACTGCTCCGGGGTGCCGAACCAGCAGGCAGGCGCGGGACACAGATCGAGCACCCGTCGGCGGCATCCAGAGGTGGGCGTGGGGTAGGTGCTCCCGGAGTGCAGGCAACGACTCCCTTGGCTCCCGACCGGGGAAAGCCCCGGGACCCTGAAGTCCACTTCCGGGGTCGTAGGTTACTCGCTTGGGGACCTGCGTTCGTCCCGCTTCTGCCGGTGCCGGCCCAACGGGAAGGCCGGAAGAAGAAACCGCGAGCCGCCAGCCTGCAGTGGCGCATGCGCCCGGTAAACCCAGTTAGGACCCGGAAAAGGAAAATCTGGAGGCATGAGAGCGCAAGCGCAGAGAGCTGGTGGAGCTGACAGGACGCGGAGGTGCCCTTTGGGCGTGCGCAGAGTCCAGAAGTAAAGAGGGTTGTTTTTTTTTTAAGTGGTTGAGCGCATGCGCACGCCCGGACGGGGCCAACCTGGAGGGGACCGCTAGGCGGAATCGAAAGGGTAGTTGAGTAGCCAATAGGTGAAAGTGAAGTAATTGGCGCAAAGCTCTTCCAGTGAATTACAGGAGGCGGGGAAAAGGTGGAGGCGTGGTCTCCTCAGGGCTACTGCCCAGAGTTAGGCGCTACGGGACACGCCCCTCTAGCGCCGGCCTCTTTTACTGCAAGACCTTTAACGTCATGAGTGTTTCTCGCTCTGAGCGGCTTCTACTTCCGGGTCAGAGCTCAGACCTGGTGTGTAGAGAGCCATCCTCCGGAACAGACAGGAGTAGTCGAATAGGATAGCGTCGTCTTTCTTAAAGTGACACTTTTGAAGCAATTGGGGTCAAGACTACCCAGTGGTGGTGAGGGAGACTCAGCTATTCTGGTTCCAGTCAGTCCTAGGCAAATTTATGAACAACAGCCTCAGGTTTTCTTCCATTGGGAAAGGGACACGAAGAAGCGGATTGTTTCCTAGGTGAGGGGTAGTATTAGCCTTGTGAAAGAGCTTGAGGTGCTGCCAGTTGAGTCTGTCCTCCAGTCTTCCGCTACCCTCACCCCCCCTAGTCCTGCAAAGCAGAGCTTCTTGTTCCTATTTCATATATGAAAAGAATGGAACTCAAAGAGAATGAGTCACACCGTCCCGCGACTTCGTAGCCCAAGCCAGACTCGGCTTGCTGCACTGCCAAGCGCGGTTCTATAGCCCATTTTGCTGCTGTGGATTCAGATGCAGAAGGCCGGGCTGGTCCCTATCTGTCTTCGGTCCTGGGCAACGGAGCACCCAGTCTGGGACTTTTCTTCCTAGATCACGAAGTCTTCGGTGATGGGGGGGTCTGCAACTACCCTTGCCCTTCTGCGTCTCGGGGCCTGCGTCTCAGGGAACTCCCTAGCCCAGCCACCCGGAGCCTCCGGGAGGGGAGCGGTGCAACCCGCCCGCGTCATCTGATGCTGTTTCCTGCAGGAGGGAGAAGAGCGGAAAAAAGTGAAACTCCACCCTCCACCTCTGCCTCCCGCCCCCAGGGCCAAAGTACAAAGGGAGGAGGAAGAAGGGAACGGGGTCGGAGCCGTCTGGGCCAAAGCCACCAAGGCTGGGAAGAGGCAGGTTCGGCCCTACTGGGGACTCTCTGCCCGCTACATGTAAAGGCCCAGCCGAGTCCAGGCTCTGCCCCTGGCAGGCCCCACCTTACACTTGGAGGGCGCTGGAGCCAACCTCCAAAGAGTACTCCAGGACCGAGGGACTCTTGGGCCCCTACAAGCCAGCCATGGTGAGGCACCGGAGGCCCCGGGGCCCCACCCCTCCAGCCTGACTACACTGCTCCAGGTGCCCTCTTCCAGAAGCCGGAGATGCGGGGGGCCGGGAGACAACACTCCTGGCTCCCCAGAGAGGCGTGGGTCTGGGGCTGAGGGCCAGGGCCCGGATGCCCAGGTTCCGGCATTAGGGCCTTGGCAGTCAGCGGGGGTGGGGACCACAGGGAGGTCCCCCACACATTCCAGTGCCAGCTCCTGGCCATGGAGCCCTTGAAGAACCTCTTCCTCAAGAGTCCTCTTGGATCATGGAATGGCAGTGGCAGTGGGGGCAGCGGGGGTGGTGGCGGAGGCCGGCCAGAGGGGTCCCCGAAGGCAGCGGCATATGCCAACCCTGTGTGGACAGCCCTGTTCGACTACGAGCCCAATGGGCAGGACGAGCTTGCCCTGCGGAAGGGAGACCGTGTGGAAGTGCTGTCCCGGGATGCAGCCATCTCAGGAGATGAGGGCTGGTGGGCAGGCCAGGTGGGTGGCCAGGTAGGCATCTTTCCATCCAACTATGTGTCTCGGGGTGGCGGCCCGCCCCCCTGCGAGGTGGCCAGCTTCCAGGAGCTGCGGCTGGAGGAGGTGATTGGAATTGGTGGCTTCGGCAAGGTCTACCGTGGCAGCTGGCGAGGGGAGCTGGTGGCTGTGAAGGCAGCTCGCCAGGATCCTGATGAGGACATCAGTGTGACTGCTGAGAGCGTTCGCCAGGAGGCCCGGCTTTTCGCCATGCTGGCACATCCCAACATCATTGCCCTCAAGGCTGTGTGCTTGGAGGAGCCGAACCTATGCCTGGTGATGGAGTATGCAGCCGGTGGGCCCCTCAGCCGTGCCCTGGCTGGGCGGCGTGTGCCACCCCATGTGCTGGTCAACTGGGCCGTGCAGATTGCCCGTGGGATGCACTACCTGCACTGTGAGGCCCTGGTACCTGTCATCCACCGTGACCTCAAGTCCAACAACAGTGAGTTTTGAGTGGCATGGACAGCGGGTGGGAGGGGTGGCATGGCCCCAGCACACACCTCCTCCCCACCCTCAGCTTGAATCTAGCCAGGGATCTGCTGGAGGCCAGAGTTCCTGTCCTAGGGGAGTCTTTGCTGACCAGGGTTACCTATGGCCCCACACTGGCCCCATGGCAGGAACCCCAGACACCCCGCAGGGTCTCCTTACCTCAGCCCCAGAAGGAGTCCTTGATTCCCGCCTGTAACTACAGTTTGGGCAAGTTAGAAAATTGAGTTCTCTTTGGGGCTGGGAGTATAGTCCACTGGTAGGGCACCTGCCTAGCGTGCATGAGGCCCTGGGTTCAATCCCCAGCACCACCACACCCCCAAAAAATAAAGAAAGAAAATGACATTGAGATCTCTCAAGTTGGCCATCCCCATCCCACCTGTGGCCACTATCTTAAGGACATCCCCTGGAGGTCCTCATCTCCTCCCCCCCTGAAGTTCACATGTGGGGGCTCTGCTGCTCTACTTTCCCCCATTCTTCTCCTCCTCTCTCCTGTACATGGTGGGCAGCTCCTCCAGGACACATATCAGAGGGGAGAGATCCTGTGGAGGTCAAGTCTGGGGCCAGGGCTGGAATCCTGGCCCCATCCCTCCCTGACTGCATGACCCCTAGCTGGCTATTTCAACTCGGAGCCTCAATTTCAGCCTCTCTAAAAAGGGAGTCACCAGGAGACTGAAATGGCTTATCAGCCTGGGCAAACCCTGGTGCATGATGCCAGACAGGTCCTCAAATGTGGACGTTTGAGGGCAAGATCATGAGGAAGACCCAGCCTGGGATCAGCATTTGGGGTTGGAGTGCCTGGTTAAGGGAGGCTCCTTCTCCCACCACCTCAGGCCCTCTACATGCTGTCGCATCATGGGCTCAAGACAAGCGAGAGCTTCCCAAAACAGGTGAGCTCCCTGCCAGGCCAGAGCACTTGGTTGGGTGTCCAGGCAGAGCCTAACCAAAGCAGAGGCAAGTCGGCAGCCACCAGGGCACAGGCTGGAGAGTAGTAGCAATAGGAAACTTAGGGGTGAGGGTGTGGAGGAGGCTCAGTGGGGTCTGGAGAAGCACTTGGAAAGCAGCATAGATATTTTGAGCTTCTATTCCTTGGACAAGGGGCTAGGGAGAGGACAGCACCAAAACTCAATGATACCTGAGTCCTTGCCAAGGTTGGAGAGACCAGGGGAGACCTGCCGTTCCCCACATGCTCATCCATAAGAGGGAGCAGTCTGCCCCCCAAGCCTTACTAGCTGTCCAGGAACCCCCACTCCCAGCTCTAGCCTGAAGGGGATTCCCCGAAGGCCCAAGGGGTGGGGGGGCTCCTGTCTTCTGTTTTTCCTCCGTTTTCTTTCCAGAAAAAATGGAACAATAGCCCAGGCCCCTGCTCCCCACCCTCCCCACTGCTTCCTGTGTTTCCTGCTGCCCCTGGGCTGGCTTCCTGCCCCTGCTCCAGTCCCTGTTCCCTCCCTAGCCCAGCTGCCTGCAGGGGAGGAAAGAGCTGGGGGTGGGGGGGTTGCCAGAGAGGAAGGAGACAGGGATTGCTCCCCCAACTGCCCCCCTCAGTTCCCCTGCTTCCATCTAAGAGTCTGGGTGGTAGTGGTGAAGGCCAAGCAAGGTGCCCTGGGCCTCTGAGCCTGGCATCCAACATCACAGACCCCAGTCCTAGGCCCAAGTTGCTGTCTGCGGGATTGGGGTGGGGGGAGTCTCTGAGATGGGGGGGCACAGGCAGGAAACAATGGCGTGATTTTCCTGGACAATGGGGGCCTTGTGAGGAAGCCTGGCGGGGAGAGAAGGGGGAATTCTCCAGGCCCACGAGTCACAGGACTGACCAGCCAGCCCGGCCTGGGTCTGACCTCCCCCAGTTCTCCCTGAAGGACCCCCCTCCCAGTTGTAGACCTGCCCAGGCCTCCCAGAAAGGAGAAGTAAGGACCACGGGAGGGAAGCGGAAGAGGTGTGAACTGCCCAGGCCACTCCCAGGCTCCATAGAGGCCAGCTTGGTGGGGGGGTGGGGTTGGTGGTCAGGTCCCTTCGAGAGGCTAAAGTGCACTAAGAGGGGCTGCAAGGCTTGTCCCAGCCTTGAGCTCTCTAGTGTACCCCCGAATCTCCCATGCCCAGGGTCACAACAGCAACTTAGGATGAGATGAGTTCGAGGCCCAGGAAGGCAGAAAGACAGCTTGGAGGAGAAGCAGGGGGTGCCAAAATGAGGTTGAGGCTTAGCAGGTGCCAGTGGTGGGGCTGGGGAGGTAGTAGAAAGAAATCTGAGGCTTTGGGGGGTTGCTGCTCTTCTCCGGGTCTCAGATTCCTCTAGAGAAAAAAAGTGAGAGAAACAGGTCACCCTACTGAGACACTGGTGCAGAAAGTGCAATACCAGTCTGATGGGTCACACGGGAGGCTAGAGCAAGGGCCAGTCTTCCAGAAAAGTGGGCCTGGGCTCCAGAAAAGGTATGTGTGCCTGCTGCCCCTCCTGCCTACACAGTGGTTCCTTGGATGAAATTGCACAGGGCTAATAACTGGTGCTGTGCTGAGCCTCCTGAACTGACCAGAAGCCGCTGTGAAGCTGGAAGTAAGAAATGATCAAGGGTGCAGTGGAGTGAGTGGATGGGACAGATGTGAGTACAGACGTTGTAAGGCAGCCGGCATTGAAAACTCTTTTGCCAGATGTCAGACCCCAAGTGGAGGCTTTTAAAAAGTATGAATAGCTTACTTCTGTGATGATCCTCTGAGGTGGGTCATCGTGAGCTACATTAACTCTGCAGGACTCAGCCCCAGTTTGGCTCCAAGGAATGGGTGGATTTTGAGACCATTCTCTTAATTAGGAGAAATGACAGGAACATTTGCCAGGCATAATAAAGGCTATTGAGAGCGCATGAATGCCAGGTGGAGCACCTAATGGGCACTGAATTGGCTCTTGTCTGGCCTAGAGCTCTAAGTATGGAAGATGCCAGTGGGGAGGGGGACTGGCACCTGGGTGAGCTAAGATGGCCTAGGGATGATGCACAGAAGCTGAAGAGAGGCTTGGCTCTGAGGAATGCCAGAACTGTAGCAGCCAATGATGGGAGGCCCTTAAGAAAACAGCCAGAGATGGTGGAAGGATTAGACAGCAGTGCCAGATCCCCAACAAGGTCCACAGGGCTTAGCCAGCAGCAGGATCGGGAGCTGTGGCTTTAGGCCCTCAAAAATTGAATGCCTTGTCTGCCACCTCGGCTGAGAAGACCTCCCTGACTCACCTGGCTGGGTAGGTACCCTTCCCCTTTGCCCGCCACCCCCCCCCAGTACCCATTACAGTGCTGAGTGACACCCTGGGCAGGAGAGCACGTGCAGCAAACAGATGTCGCTCTCCACCATGCAGTTGGCTATAACCAGAAAAGTAGAAGGTCCCTCTCAGACCCTTGACAATCCTGTGACCTTTCTTTCTATTCCTCTAAAACTGCTCTCCCTCTAGCTGCATTTGTCCTGGCAAGAGATCTGCAAGTTGCTTCTTTGTCTTCCTGTACCAAGTATGGTGGCCCAAATTTGAGTCAAAGCCAAGCACCCCTGCCAAGTCTGACCATCCACTCCTACTTGCCATAGCCTCCTCCTCCATGGCCAAGAATCACCACCCCTCCCTTTCTCCTCACATCCTGCAGCCTTAATAGTTATCTTCTGGAGCCTTTCTACTAGGAGTGGCTGCATTAGCCACAGGATGATGTAGGCACCAGGGGCCAGTGGTGACTGCTGGGCTTCTTGCTTACCAAGGGCTTCCTACCTGCTCCCCCTCCCAGGGGTGTGTCTGATTCACACTCCTATCTCAGCAAAATGACAAGACACTCATGGATTTCTCTGGAAATCAGACTCACAAATACTAAGAATCTGCTAAGAACATTGCTGAGTTTTATTCATGTAGTATTAGGGAAAATTCAGAACATGAACTGAACTACACAGAGCAGGGTAGAATCTGTACTTTATTGCTGTATGACCTTGGCCAAGTCATTTTCCTACTGTTTCATCAACTTTAAAATAGGAATAACACCTACCTCAGTGATTTTTTTTTTTTTCTGAGCGCTAGGGCTGTGTGTAAAATATGTGGCTCTAGTAGACCTTAAGAAAATATGTCCCAGAATTTATTTTTGACTGATTCCACCCCATCCCCAGCTGTAAGCTCTCAAGGGCAAGATATAGACCACATCACCTCTGGCCAGGCCATCGGTCAGATGACAGTTTGCTGCCAGCTTTTCCCCTGTCCCCACTACCTGATCCTGAAACACCCACAATCCTGCCCCACTTTTTCCCCAGTTCTGCTGCTGCAGCCCATTGAAGGAGATGACATGGAACACAAGACCCTGAAGATCACTGACTTTGGTCTGGCTCGAGAGTGGCATAAAACCACGCAAATGAGTGCTGCAGGCACCTATGCCTGGATGGCTCCTGAGGTTATCAAGGCCTCCACCTTCTCTAAGGGCAGCGATGTCTGGAGGTGTGGCCTGGGGGACTGGACAGGGTCTGCTATGGGGCTACAAAGGGCAGAAGTGGTTGCCAAAGCCTTTGGGTGGGTAGACAAGCCGAGACCCGGGGAAGGGACCCAGTCCATTTAATTCCTCATTGCTTTGGGGTGAAATAGTAATAAGTAAGCAGAGAAGGGCACACAGACTCTTTGTCTCGCCCACAGCTTTGGGGTGCTGCTGTGGGAACTGCTGACTGGGGAAGTGCCTTACCGTGGTATCGACTGTCTTGCTGTGGCCTATGGTGTAGCTGTTAACAAGCTCACACTGCCCATCCCGTCCACCTGTCCAGAACCCTTCGCACAGCTCATGGCCGGTAAGAGGACAAGGTGGGCAGCTAAGGGGCAGAGCTCCCTGGTCCAGGACACATCCACCCACAGACCTCCTTCTTATTCTGTCCCCCCTCCCTGCCGTGCCCCTAGACTGCTGGGCACAGGACCCTCACCGCAGGCCCGACTTCGCCTCCATCCTGCAGCAGTTGGAGGCGCTAGAGGCGCAGGTCCTGCGGGAAATGCCGCGGGACTCCTTCCATTCGATGCAAGAAGGCTGGAAACGAGAGATCCAGGGCCTCTTCGATGAGCTGCGGGCGAAGGAAAAGGTGAGTGGACTCGCGGGTACCCAGAGTCGGAAAGCATTTTCCGAATCTCGGTGGGGCAGACAGGGGTCAGTGCCGGGATGACCCCACCGCCTTCCCTGTCCGGGGCGCAGGAACTACTGAGCCGCGAGGAGGAGCTGACACGAGCGGCGCGCGAGCAGCGATCACAAGCCGAACAGCTACGGCGGCGCGAGCACCTATTGGCTCAGTGGGAGCTAGAGGTGTTTGAGCGCGAGCTGACGCTGCTGCTGCAGCAAGTGGACCGCGAACGGCCGCACGTCCGCCGTCGCCGCGGCACCTTCAAGCGCAGCAAGCTCCGGGCGCGTGACGGCGGCGAGCGCATCAGCATGCCCCTCGGTAAGCAGGGCCTCAGGACTCCGCCCGCCATTGGCTGTAGGCACTGAGGGGCAGGGTCGCGGAACCCATTGGCTGCGTGGGCGGAGGGGTGGAGTCAGCTCCTTGTCCTGGCCGCACTGGGATTGGTGTAGGGTGTTGGTGGGTGGACCCTGGAGCTGAAGGCTGGAAGGATGGGACCCTGAGTATTTTTTGTATCTGTGGGTGGGTTCTGGCGGGAATATTTGCATTTCGGCCTGGGAGTGGCTGCGGCCGGGAATGGGCGGAGCTCATGACTGTTCTGGGAAGGCCGAGGGGGCGTGGCGGGCCGTCCCTGGGGAACCTTGGACTCTGCTGGGCTGGTCAGGTTCGTGGAGTCTGGTCCTTCAGCTTTCCTTATTCAAAGTCTGGGTTCCTGGGAAGCGGTGAGGCTGTCACAAAGCCACTGTGCCGCTGCCTTGTGTGGCTTAGGAGCAGACGGAGATCACGGTCACGTGCGGTTTGGAGTCGTAGCTCTCCACCACAAACCTGCACCTACTCTCTCCTTCCCCAAACCCCAGATTTCAAGCACCGCATCACCGTGCAGGCCTCACCTGGCCTTGACAGGAGAAGAAACGTCTTTGAGGTTGGGGCTGGGGATTCGCCGACCTTCCCCCGGTTCCGGGCCATCCAGTGTAAGAAATTTAGCCTCCTGTCTCTTCCCCTAGCTCCTAATCCTTGTGTCACACCTTATCCCTGGAGTCAGACTCCGCCTACTGTCTCCTTTCCCTTCTGCTCCAGGGTTCCTTCCCCTTCCATCTAGACTGTTGCCTCTCAGTTCACCAAAAAACTAAATTTCTTAGTTAAACAACTATGTAGTAGTCATTTTCTTAAATCCTTTGCTAATTTTAATTCTTTACAAGAATTTGTTTAAATAAATATCATTACTATCTTAAATTTCATACACGAGAAAAGTGAAAAAAGTAATTTGCCACATAGCTAATAAGGCAGTTTGTGTCACTATCTGTACTAACTTATAAACAGCAAATGTCATCAGAGGGATTAATGAGATGCCCCACCTCACTGCTGGCCCCAGGACCCAGACCCACCTGTCCCAACAAGTCCCCTCCCTGGGAGTAAATCTGGGGCCCAGCCTGCCCTGCATCCTGTAGAGTTGCCTGCAAAGCCTCATGATGGGGGAGAGCAAGGATCAGCTCAGACTTCATCGGGTTCCTCCACAGTGGAACCTGCAGAACCTGGACAGGCATGGGGCCGCCAGTCTCCCCGTCGTCTGGAGGACTCAAGCAATGGAGAGCGACGAGCTTGCTGGGCCTGGGGTCCCAGTTCTCCCAAACCTGGAGAGGCCCAGAATGGGAGGTGAGTGACTGAATGCCTCCTACCTGAGCATGATCTGCCTCCCCCACACTCCTCAGACTCACAAAATGCCCCCCCACCCTTTCCCTCGCTAGGAGAAGGTCCCGCATGGATGAAGCCGCGTGGTACCTGGATTCAGATGACTCTTCCCCCTTAGGATCTCCTTCCACACCCCCAACACTCAATGGTGAGTGGCCTTGTCTCCCCCAACAGGATTTTTTGGGCTGGGGAAGGCCAGGAAATGTGACCAGACAGAGCAGGAATCCTGCCCTGATAGGTCTCATTCTAGCAACTGGGAAATTGAATCTGAGATTAGGCAGAGCAGTCCTAGGTCTGACCTACAGGCCCACAGCCAAGCTGGATTCAGCCCAGGCCTTGGGCCAAGAGACTAGTCCCCCCTGTTCAAGCCTGGCCTGCCAGAGGCTCTTTCCTAGCCTTGTGGCAGCACTGTACCTTCAGCTGGCTCTAGGGAGAAAAGGAAGCAGGGAATGGTACTGCCCCCCGACCATTTGGCACTGAGGGAAGCAAGGTCCAGAGAGAGGAAGGAAACTGCCCGTATGGGGTGGGGCCAAACAAATGACTGCTACACTGTGCTTCTCAGAGTCCCCTCTAGGGAGCCTGTGGGTAGGGAAGGTGATGAGCAGAATAGCCAGGGATCCAGGGCCCATTGTCACTGCCTCTGGGGAAGTTTGGGGCTTTTCTGTGTGTCAGGCATTCTGTTCAACCTGTGAGGAAGGTGCCAGGGTTATCCCTATTTTAGAGATAAGGAGACTGAGGATGCAAGAAGGGAAATAAGCTGGGCACTGTGGTGCACACCTGAAATCCCAGTGGCTCAAGAGGCTAAGAAAGGAGGATTGCAAGTTCAAAGCCAGCCTCAGCAACATAGAGAGGCCCTAAGCAACTTAACAAGATCCTGTCTCTAAATAAAATATAAAATGGGTTAGGGATGTGGCTCAGGGGTGAAGGGTTCCTGGGTTCAATCCCCTATTCAAAAAAAAGAAAAACAGAGGGAAATAACCTGCCTGAAACCGCCAGCTAAAGCATGGAACCAAGAGATGTTCTGGCTCCCTTCTCCTCAGCCCATTTCCTCAGAAGCTTCCACTTGAAAAAGCATTTCTCACTTGAACTGCTTAGGAAGCCAGAGGATTGGCAAAGAGCAGAACTCCTGCATCAGAGGGCTGAGGGCTCAGCTCAACGCTGAGTTTAGCAGGAGGTAGAAGGTGGCATCCCTTGCCTGTGGATCCTTGTGCCAACCCAGGTACTGTCCTCAGAAGCCCCAGCTCCACCTAGCTTAGTGGCCCTCAGACCAAATCCCTATACAACAATCAGTTTAGACTCACCCCTCCCAACCCGTGCCCACTCTACCATTATCTGATTTGATAGTAATAATATCAGCTAGTACTTATTGGCTTCTATGTGCCAGGCAATTTTGTGAGGTGGGTATTATTATTGGCTCCATTTTACAGAAGAAGAAACTGAGACAAAAAGATGGAAGTTGTTTGCTTTAGGACACCCAACAGAGCAGGGGCTGTTGGTCTATCTCACCCTCTGTGTGTGGGGGGTGAGTTGACTTGCCCCAAGGCAGAGCAATGGAGAACTTGAGGTCTTGTCAATCTAGGTGTGTAGAGTTGAAGCAGTCCCTGACTGTGTTCTCCAGAGCCTTCTGGCCTTGTCCTCCTTGAGCTCCCAAGGAAAGGAACGACAAGGACCTGAAGCCCAGTTTCCTCAAGCTTTCCACTTTGCCTAAAAGCACACCACTTGCCCCAGCTTAGTCTGACTGAGCACTTGATTTGGGCCCACAAGAGTACATGACCTTGGCCTCTCAGCTACCCACAGAGTCAGATACCTGGCTTTTCAGGTATCTGACTTTTCAAAGAGTGAGGCCTCACAGAAGTCCCAGATTCTGCGAAAGTGTCCCAGGCATAAGCCATTGTGGGGAGCCTCATCCCCCAACCTCCCTACCCTGATTCCAGCTGGATGTCTCTGACCCCTGGGGACCTTGTTGCAGTGAGTTGCACTTTGGCAGGATATATTCAGCCCACACTGACAGAAACTGCCTTGGGAAGCTGGTTGCCCTGGAGCCACTAACCACTTCATGGACATGTCCTCTCCATGAGGCCCCATGGAAGCAATTTCACCTTCTCCTCTGGGTCAAGAAGAGTCATACTCCCTTCTTTTAAACAACAGGATTGCCAACTCTGACTGCTAGGAAGCTTAGAAGCAAATTAGAATCCTAGGAGAATTACCTGGCACAAGTTGCTTACCTCTGGAACCCTGGGTTTCTCTCTCTCTCTCTCTTTGATACCGGGATTCAATCTAGGGGTATTCTACCACTGAACAACATTCCCAGCCCTTTGTTTTTGTGGTGCTGTGGCTTGAACCCAGGGCCTTGTTCATGCAAGGCAGCCATTCTACCAACTGAGCTAACCCATCTTTTTATTTTATCTTGAGACAGAGTCCCACTAAGTTGCCTGAGCTGATCTTGAACTTGAGATCCTCTTGCCTCAGCCCCCAGAGTAGCTGGGATTACAAATGTACACCACTGCAGGTGGCTTCGTGCTTGTTTAAATGTGTCTCTCCCCTCTTCTGTTTAAACTCACTATAAATGGCCAGTTTCTTCACCTGTGAATTAGTGATTACCTCTTATGGTTGTTGAAAGGAATTTAAGCACAGACTCTTCCCTCAAATACATATTGATGCATTATGAGCCAGTTGTCAACACTAAGATCAACACTGCCATGACCCTGGGGATATTCTAGTCTGGTGGAGAAGGCAGTCTCATAAACAAGCAGAGTAGGGATTAGTAAGTATTGAGAATGTAGCTCTAAAAGGCGTAATATGGACAACAGCTACACAGGTTCAGGGGGATTCTGAGAAGGCTTCACAGAGGAGGTGATGTCTCAGCTGGGTCTTTTTTTAATGTTTATTTCTTTTAGTTGAACACAATACCTTTATTTATTTAGTTTTACACAGTGCTGAGGATTAAACCCAGGGTGTACTAGGCGAGAGCTCTACCACTGAGCCACAACCCCAGCCCTCAGCTGGGTCTTTGGCAGTGAGTAAGAGGTCAGCTGAAAGTTGAGGTGGGAAACATGTGCCAGCCGGAAGGAATAGCAAGAGTACAGGCATGAAGGAAATGCACTGAAACTCAGAGAAATGTTGAAAGCCAAGGAGTGTCAGGCCAGAGGCAGCGCGCCAGTGGAGGAGAGAATGAAGCTGGAAAGGTAGGCAGAGCCTGTTTAGGAAAGGCCTGGAAATGATGAGTTTTAAGAGGAACCCTGTTTTTAACAGGTTTGCAACAGGGCCTTTGAGTGGCAGTAGTCAAGGGTGGTTGGGAGGAAGATGGGAGGCAGAGAACTGGGTGAGGGTTGTGGCTAACAGCAGGACCTCCACACCAAGTCCTGTTCACAGCAGAGAGCAGTTCCAGCCTTGCATCTCTTTCTCCTGCCACCCAACACAGAGTGGCACTCCAGAGAGCCTGCTCTGTCCATGAACCAAGGGGGAGGGAAAGGACAAAAGGGACAAGGCCGGGGAGGACTTTGACAGCCCAGCTACGGAGGCTGGACTTTCTTCTGATGGCAGCAGAGAGCTAAGGAGGGATGTAACCAAATCAGGACTTTAAGGAGACCATCATAGATGCCCTGTGACTCCCTTCATGGCCAGTTCCCCAGCACTGCCACCCCGCCCCCAGGTAGTCTGGAATGGAGTCAAGGCAATCCTAACCCCAAAGACAGGACACTCTTTTTTTTTTTTTTTAATACCTTTATTTATTTTTATGTGGTGCTAAGGATCTAACCAGTGCCTTACACATGCTAGGCAAGTGCTCTACCACTGAGCCACAACCGCAGCCCCAAGGACACTCATTCTTAAATCTAGGTAGAGTCTTGTAGGCGAGGGGTGGGTCACAAAGGCACTGCTGCCCCTGCACAAATTAGGTTAGCTCTGTCTCTGTCCTTGTATTGGAACCTCTGGGACCTAAGGATCAGACAACATGATATTTCTAAATCATCCAGCTCATACCTGGCAGAAACACATCCTCTGTAAGCTAGCTGTGACCCCAGGCAAGGAACTAACCTCTCTGAGCTTCCGTTTCCTCATTTCTGGAATAGCGACACTGATGCGTGCCCCCAGGAACTATTGTGTACATTGGAATTTACCTGTGAGCTCCCTACAAACTGCTGCTGGAGTGGGGGTAGGTGAGCAGAAGGGCCAGGGCCGCCCAGCTGGTGAGGGAGTTGGCACAGAGCACAGTACTGGTCCCAGGCAATGGGGCCAACCTGGCACCGGGGCCTGGAAGTTGACCTGGCTGGTCACTGGCCTCAGCCTGCTACTTCTTGAACTCCTGTCCTTTTCCCAGGGGCCTGGCTGCCTCCCAGGCTTTGCTGCTGCTGGTTCCTCTGCTGCCCTTCCCAGGCTCCCCCAGCTGGTGGAAGGCTGGGGGGTATCAGATGGGAGGGGCACCCCTGGAAAAGGAGTTGACCCATGGAAATGCTGCTGGGAAGCAGAACTCAGTCCTTTTTTCTAGAACTCGGTCCTTCTTCCAGACCCTCACCAGGGTGTTGTGCCAGCCGTGGCCTAACCTGTGACACCCTTGCTGACAGGTAACCCCGCACGGCCCAGCCCAGAGCCCGAAGAGCCGCGGAGGCCGGGACCAGCCGAGCGCGGCAGCAGCTCCGGGACGCCCAAGCTGATCCAGCGGGCGCTGTTGCGCGGCACCGCCTTGCTCGCCTCCCTAGGCCTCGGCCGAGACCTGCAGCCACCTGGGGGTCTGGGCCGCGAGCGCGGAGAGCCCCCAACAGTGACCCCTATGCCGGTGACCTCCCCGTGCCCCACAGAGCCTCCTGCCTCCCCGATCGGCTGCCTCTCTCCCAAGACGCAGGATGCCCGAGGCCTTTCCACCCCTGGGCCCCTGCTGCTGGACCTGGGTGTCCCCACCGGCCAGCCGTCAGCCAAGAGTGCCCGGCGGGAGGAGACACGTGGTGAGTGGCCCTAGGGCAGATGCTGAGATGGCAGCCACCAGAGAGGGGAAGAACTGCTTGGGAACTTTTAGGAAACCAAGGCCAGGACCACAGATGTCTGCTGGAGCCCAAGCTGGTCCCTTAGGGCACTGGGGACACATGTAAAGAACTGAGTTCTAGGTTCAACTGTACGGTGGTCAGGGGCAAGATGGGCTGCCAGCTAGCTATAAAATAATAGAAGTGATGGTGACAAGGACAACTCCTACAGGTTGATTAATTGTGCCAGTTACTGTCCATGGTGGTCCTTTAGAGAAAAGGTGTCTAAAGATTGCCATGAGCACTTTATGGTACCCATTTTTTAGATGATAAAATTTGAAGCACAGAGAGTCAGGGACTCTGGGCTCCCAGACTTGTAAGTGGCAGGGTTGGAATCTAAGGCCAGACCTGTCTGCTCCATACCCCTGCTCTGAGCCACTTAGTAATAAACAGTTGCATTCTGGAATATAGGGCTGTGGAAGTTAGGAATCAAGTAGCTCACTGTGTAGTTTGAGAAAGGTGGTGACACCTTCGGGCCTTGGTTCCTCAAGCTGCAGTGAGCTAGTCAGCACCTAGGAGGTGGTGACTGCCTAACCCTGTGCTCTTCCTGCACCCCCATAGGAGGCACTGTCTCACCCCCACCAGGAATATCACGCTCTGCTCCCGGCACCCCGGGCACTCCACGCTCACCACCCCTGGGCCTCATCAGCCGACCTCGGCCCTCACCCCTTCGCAGCCGCATTGACCCGTGGAGCTTCGTGTCAGCTGGACCACGGCCTTCACCCTTGCCCTCACCACAGCCTGCGCCCAGACGGGCACCTTGGACCTTGTTCCCAGATTCAGATCCTTTCTGGGACTCCCCACCTGCCAACCCCTTCCGGGGAGGCCCCCAGGACTGCAGGGCGCAGACCAAAGACATGGGTGCCCAAGCCCCATGGGCACCAGAGGCCGGCCCTTGAGTGGGCCAGGCCGTCTTCTGTGCCACCTGCCATGGAGGAGCCGCAGCATACACTGGAACAGGAGCCAGGCACGCATCTGGAGCTGCTTGGTTTCCCCCAGAGACTCCGCCCCCTGTTGGGGGTCAGGAACACTACACTGCACAGGAAGCCATCACACTGGATGGGGGGCCTGCACCCCCCCCCAATTTATGACCTATAGGTCCCCTTGACTTATTTGCCCCACTGGGGCCTGACACTGTACCCAGCTGGTTGGGAGGACCAGAGCCTGTCTCAGGGAATTGCCCCCAGGGTGTAGGGAGGAGGGAGGTGCAGGGGAGGGGCCAGCCTCAGCTGTCACCAGCACTTTTGACCAAGTCCTGCTACTGTGGCCCCTGCCCCAAGGGCTTAGTGCCTGGGCCCCCTGCCCTGGGGGTCAGTGGGGCTGGGGCTCTCTGGGTGCCTTCCTGCTACCCCAGCCAGGGTGGGGGCCCTGGTCTTGGGATCCAATGAAGCCAAATAAACTGGTAAGCTGTCTCTCCAAATGCAGCCTGACACTTTTCTTGGAGGTAACCAGGAGACTCAAGCTATCCGAGGACCATGGTGTCCTCATGCCCCTAGCACAGTGGGCAGATGGCCTGGACCTAGGCCAGGATACCTTGTACCATACCCCTTCTTGAGACCTGCCCCAGCCCTCCTGACACCCACACATGCTGGCCTCGCCTACCTTCTCCCCACCTCTCCCAGACTTCCACCCTGAGTGTTTGCACTCAAGCGACTGTTTGCCTTGATCCTCCCTGTTGCTGGGTGGTCTCTGCCTATCTTCTGGGGCCAGCTGCAGAGTCGCCTCCCCAGGTCACCATCCCTGGATGTGCTGTCCCCACCCCAGGTAGATCTCTGAACTTAGGAGCCCACAGGCCGGGAAGCAGTGTCTTGAGGATTTGCCTGTGTTTTTCTCATCCACAATCTGGACACACGCAAAATAAGTCCACCCATCCTGGCATTTTCAACGCTTCTACAAGAGTTTGTGGGAGTGTGGCTCGGGCTCCTCTGCCTGCCCCAGCATGCCATGGCAGCCAGGCTCTGTCTGCAGTGTAGCAGAGACTCACCTTCCCTGCCCCCACCACATCCATTCTGAATCCCACCACTCCTCTGCCCTGGCCACTGTCCTTCCACCCCCAGGGTCCCCCCCATAGGTCTCTGGGCCTGTATCCTTGCTCCTTCCCCATGGTGAGCCCCCTGCTCCTTCCCCACCACAGGCTCTTCCCACCATGACTAGCCTGTTTTCATTCCCCAGCTGAAATGTCACCTTCTTAAAGGAGCTTTCCCATGACCTGGCTGTTTGCTCCAAGAACAATGTGAAGATGTCACGTCTTGGTTCATATGTTTCCTGTGTGAACATCAGGAGGAAAGGGACCTGTATCTGTCCTCTTCCTCGGTATCTGAATGAGATGGGGTATGTGTGACTGGTGAACATGACCTTAAAGAAATGTGAGGTTCTCTCTCAGCCTCAGCGTCCTGCCCTCTCCCTCACTGCAGTGCCTTCCTCTACCTGCCCCCACCCCAGCTGCCTGAAATGGGCAAAAGTCTTGCCCCAGAAACTGGGAGGAGTGCTCAGGCTCATCACCCTTCCATTCACACTCACCCCGGCTCTGCCCAGCCACCCACACAGCGCCTCCTCCCCACCGCCCTGCGGAGCCCTTCCCAGGTGCTTGCAGAGGAGACACCAGCTCCCAGGTGACCAGACTAGCGCCACGCTATGGGGGGTCTGAGGCCCTGGGCCCGGTACATGCTCCTAGTTGTGGCCCACCTGCTGGCCATGGGGCTTGGGGCTGTGGTACTCCAGGCCTTGGAGGGCCCCCCAGCGCTCCAGCTCCAGACCCAGCTCCAGGCCGAGCTGGCTACCTTCCAGGCAGATTATGGGGCCTGCCTGCCACCTGGAGCACTGGAAGAGCTACTGGGCATGGCCTTGAGAGCACAAGCCCACGGAGTCTCCAGCCTGGGCAACAGTTCTGAGGCCAGCAACTGGAATCTGCCCTCGGCCCTCCTCTTCACTGCCAGCATCCTCACCACCACGGGTAAGGCTGCCAGGCAGCCCAGTAGGAGCTGGCTCCTGAGGCCCTGGCTCCCTGAGGTCCCTGGGGGTGCAGCCCTTCCCCCAACCCCAAAGCCCCAGACAGAGCCTAGCCCTATCAGGCCTGACATCACAACTGGGGCTCCCCATACCAACACACCCCAACTGGTGCCTCCACTTCAGCTGCCAGAAGGGGTGTGGCCTCCCCAGGCACCCTTTGAAATCCAGGAGAGATACTCAGACCCATGAGCCTGAGACAACACCAAAGGATGGACTATTGGATGGAGGGAGAAAGCACAGACCAGGATTACCAGCTCAGGAGGAGTATAGTGGAGGAATCCCCGATGAGCTGTTAGCCATGGCAGGAGGCACAGCCATGAGGGTTGAAGGAATTCCTGGTTGAGGAAAACAGCATGTACTTAGCCCAGAGAAATGAGGCAATGGCCCTGGGTTTTAGTTTTGTCCTGCAAAGTGTCTGAATTATTATCATTATTAGTGTGTGTGTGTGTGTGTGTGTGTAGTGTGTGTGTTTCTGGGGATCAAACTCTGGGCCTCACACCTACCTTCTTTTGGAAACTCAAGAAACAATTTATACTGAGTCTGAATCCCTGCAAGGTAACATACTGGTCCAGTATGTTACTGGTCCAGGTCCTGTCTCTAGGCAAAGCACATGCCCTCCAGCCTATCCCAGTCCCCACCACTCACCTCTCCCTCTTATCTCACGGTCAGTTTCTGTGGGCATTGGAGTTTGCAACCTCTCAACTAGCTGATCTTCTTCTCCCAGCATGCTCTGCTCTGCCCCTGCCTTGCATGTGCTTCCCTGGCCCCAACTGACCTCTCTCATGCATGCTGCCTGATTGTAGTACTTTGTGTCCACCTTCGTGACTGTTTTTCCTGCTTATCTCTCCAACCAAAAGTGAGGGCCCAGGTAGACTCAGATTCCAGCACAAGACCCAGAACATAGAAAGATGTAATGCACTTTGGGGTGATGAAACAGTGGGTGACATTCCACTAGCTGTGGATTGGCAGTACAGGTTAAGGACAGAGCTGAGCAATCTCTTAGGAAGCCAGGATCAGGTTGGGGTTTCTCAGTGGTAAAACACTTGCCTATAGCATGTGTGAAGCTCTGGCTTTCATCACCAGTACTGCAAAAGGGAAAGCCAGGATCTCTCTGGGGAAGGACAGCATTTCTGTGAATTGTCCCAGCTATAGATGGCCAAAGGGACCTTTTTCTTTTTTTGAGATAGGCTAAATTGCCTTGAATGGCCTCAACTTGCAATCCTCCTTCAGTCTCCTGAGTACCAGGGCTTGCAGGTGTGAACCACCATGCCTGCCTGGCTAAGACTGTCTTCTTTAATCCTTTCATTTCCCAGAAAAACATGGCTCAGAGAGGTTAAGGAACTTGACCTTAACCCAGTGAAGCAGCAGAACCTGAAGAGTGCATGCAATTTCCGCCACTAGAGGGCAGCTTTCTATGGGAGGCAATGAAAACAGTAAAGACCCCCAGCAGCCATCCCACTCAAGAGCTCACTGCCTGCTCTCTCTGTCTTCTCCAGGTTATGGCCACATGGCCCCACTATCGGCAGGAGGAAAGGCCTTCTGTGTGGTCTATGCATCCCTGGGGCTGCCAGCCTCCCTAGTTCTTGTGGCCACCCTGCGCCACTGCCTGCTGCCTGTGCTTAGCTGCCCAGGTACCTGGGTAGCAGCCCGCTGGCAGCTGGCACCAGCACAGGCTGCACTGCTGCAGGCAGCAGGACTGGGCCTGTTGGTGGCCTGCATCTTTGTGCTACTGCCAGCACTGGTGCTGTGGGGTCTGCAGGGTGACTGCAGCCTACTGGAGGCCATCTACTTCTGCTTTGGCTCACTCAGCACCATCGGGCTGGGGGACTTGCTGCCCAGTCAAGGTCATGGCCTGCATCCAGTAATTTACCACCTTGGCCAGCTCGCACTTCTTGGTGAGTGTAAGAAGGGAAAAGAGTCTGAACTGCAACTCCCATAAGCCACTGGGGGCCTGAGTTTCACAGGTGGGAGACCCTAACCCAGGGCATTGTTTGAAAGATACAGTAAAAGCCTGGTGGCATTGTTGAGAGACGTGTGAATGGAGCCAGGTGCCAGGGTAGGTCATCACACTGGGAAGTGGGTGGGGAGCATTGTGGGCACCCCAAGAACTACCCTAGCAACCTCTCTCTCCAGGTTACTTGCTCTTAGGGCTCCTGGCCATGCTGCTGGCGGTGGAGACCTTTTCAGAGCTGCCACAGGTCCGTGCCATGGTGAAATTCTTTGGGCCCAGTGGCTCGATGACCCCTGAGGACCAAGGTGGCATCCTGGGCCAGGATGAGCTGTCTCTGAGCACCCCGCCTCCTGATGCCCCAGCTGCAGGACAGGCACCAGCTTGCTGACAGGTGTCAGGTGACCAAGTTCAGCTCCTTTAAGATGGAAGATTCTGAGGAGACGGCCAGGGGTCCTTGGGGAAGAATCTGGAGATGGGGGCGGGTGGGTGCCAGAACTTCATGTAATCAAGTGTTAAAAAAAATAAATGGCCAACAACCCACTGTTTTCGTGCCTTCTTTCAAAATGGGACTTCACTCCAGTCATCATTCTTGAGAGGCCTGGTCATGCCTCAGTGTGTATCTGGGAGTCCCCAACCTGGTCTGCGGCGTTTAAGGTCGCAGAGACAACATCACCCTGAGCCCCTTTTCCGTTTGTCCCATCTCAAATTGTTCAGAGAAAGGTCCCACCCAGTGTGTCCTTGTCCTTGTCCAACTTTATTAGTCAAGAGAGAAACAGGAGGAGGGTGCGGTTGACAGTCCCCCGCCATCCCTCTCCCTCTCCCTCTTCCTCAGAGGCCTCCTGGGGGCCCTGCAATTGGGCAGATCTCTGTGAGGCGCCCCTGGAACCCCACGAACACGCGCACACACACTCATACCGACAAATAAATAACGTCCTGGCCGGCGCACAGCCCAGCAGCTCCGTCGGTCTGCCAGGGAGTCCAGCCGGCCGGTCCGATGCAGTGGCGCCAACAGCCCAGAGGCCATACGCCCCATCCCGAGGGCCGGGTTCTCCCCAGCACAGGCCGTGGGAGGCGAGCAAAGCTGCGGGCCGGGAGGCGGGAAGACCCGGAGGCTGGGGAGGCCGGGAGGCCGGGGAGGCCTGCCAGCCCGGGCGGCTCAGCTCAGTGCGCAGCGTTCGCGCCGGCTCAGCTGCCGGCTCAGCTTGCGGCGCCGCTGCTCCAGGCCGCGTGCCAGACGCTCGTCCTCCTCCAGGGCGCTGGCAGGGAAGAGGTTCAAGTCAGCCCAGCCTGGGCAGACCCGCGATCCACACCGGCGCCCTGGGTCCACTCCTGTTCCCCGGTCCCCACTCACATCCGCTCCTTGTGATCCAGGTCCCGGACCAGCTCGTCGCGCTGGTTCACCAGCGACACCAGCTCCTCCAGCAGGAGCTGCTCCCGGTGCTGCTGCGCCTCGGTTTTCT